CGCACAGGTAAGTGCCAGGTAAGTGTTATTCACGTTTACTTTCGGTAGCGATTCGAGATGCTTAGAGAGCTCATAACCTGCACCCCCAGTGTTAGTACTCTTGCCCAGAGTAGGGCACAGTCCTTCACGTGTTGTTCACCTCCCGCACCACACGCTCAGCTTGGATCCAAGTTAGATGCACAGTCCTGTCGTACAGACCACTTTAGGTGGTTCCGACTCGTAGGTGACCCGCGATTATTCGCACAGCCTTCTCGTGATCGTAGCACTATAACGTTTATATGTATTACACCTAGGCCTGTCGTACAGACCACTTTAGGTGGTTCCGACTCGTGGGCAGGTGTAGTTATTGAGATTGAGATTTGGGCTCTAGATGCAGCCGTACAGGTCATGTTAGGTGACTCCGGCTGCTAGACTATATGATATTGATATGATTTTCACCTGAGCACTTGCATTTCATTGTGAGATTTGGCATGACATATCCTGAAGCATGATTGATATTTATATATATATGTACATATGTTATTTTCTGGGAAGTATACAGGTTTTACGGCGAGGGGTTAGAACTTATTTGTTAAATGATTTTTCGAAAAACTTTGTTTTTGCCCACTCGTGCTTTTGTTTTGCGCCCCTTCAGGTTCTAGTTGTCTAGCAGGTTGGGTGGTTTCCCAGAGGGCTTTCCCGGCATTTCTGGTAGACGATCACCAGCGTAGGGCCACCTTCTGGTGTACTGTTGTCGCGTCATTTTCATTTGGACTGCTGTAGGTGTTATGCTCTGAACTTGTATCTCACTTACGCTAGCACTTATTTCTATTACCTGATGTATGCTAGTTTTTATTTATTCGTACTTTTACGTTACTATTTTATTAGCTTCCGCACTGTACACATGGTTACGTCACCTCCGCGTGATGGCCAGCACGCCTTGATCTCGGTCGGGGTGTGTCAGTAGAGTCTTAAAAAAGAAAATAAAAATACATTCAAGAATAAAAAATTAAAAAAAAGGAGAAAAATGAGTTAACAAACCACAAAAAAGAGGTGGGATCAGAAGAAAAAAAAAGGACAATAATTGGGTACTCTCTAATGAGTACCCATTATACTGAACTCATGAAATGGCCCAATAAAAGTATAGTCCACTTGTCATATCTAAAATCTCCCAAAACACTTACTACCTTTGTTACCAAACACTCATCATCTTCCTCATCCCAACTTCTATTTTTCAATCAATTCCAACCCTCTTCCCAGCTACCACAACCCCAATTTTCTCCGGTGAAACCATCTTCTCCCTCCCCTATGCTATGGCTCTTCATCACCACACCCTAAATAAAACAAAGAACCAATATCCTTTGTTTGCCATGAATTCTCACTAACCAAACACCTCCCTCAAACCTTTCACCCACCTAATACTGGTGGGGAGCACGGCAGAGCCATGGGAAATCTGGGTCAAACGAGGAGACAGAAGTGGTGTTGACGAAGGAGAGGGGTTGGAGAAGGAGATGGCGAGCCAAATTTTTTTTTTAAAATCTGGACAAACAACCAAATTTCATTGCGACCTACCACCAATCCTTATCTCCTCTAGGCGACCCACCTCCACTCACTCTTTTGTACAGGAAAACCGACTTGTTGTTCTTCTCTTGAACGATGGCTATTGCTGAAGACGGTCTCCCACGCAGTAGTAGAAACTAGATCATCGAAGCCGGAATTCTCATTTCCGATGAGAGCGGAGAGGCTGAAAGAGCGCTCCTATGTGTGTTTTTTAGCGAGGGGAGGGGTGGCTGCCACTCCTCGCCCTCACGTAGCTTCGCCATTGCAAGCATGCACACTTGAAACCTAGCCAGTAAATACGTACCTTGAAATAATGCAATATATATACACTTAAAACCTAGTGTATAGATCTGCTGGTAAAATGTTTTATCATTCGACAAGAGATATACGATCATGTTTGATTTTCTTGAAACACAAAATAAAGTCAAAGGCCTTAAAGGGAGCGGTGTATAGAAAATCTTAATTTCAGCTTTTATAAATGGGATTATGTTGTTCAGATTTTTTTAGTGTTCTTTCTTTGCTCTCCTTTTTAGCTGTTTCTAATGTTTTCATAACTGAAAAACAAATGTAGGAAGAAAATCATTGTCTCTGGTTTAATTTGTTAGCCTGTCGATGGGAACACAATCTTTTTAATAAGTCAATGTACCCATTCTATATTCATACGAATTTTTTATTTATATAAATAAAAACATGCAATATCAACGCATAAAGAAAATATAAAAAACACAATAAACCTGAGGTTTGGCACATTTTCTTGCCTAATTTTCTCAATCCAACACGAAAAGTCAATTGAGGTTGGATAAAACGTCCATGTTGGAAGGTGTGGTGCTTCCTTTCAAGTTTCTAATTCAGTGCAGAAAACAAACAATTCGGTACCGAACGGTTCAAAATATATATCGGGTGTGTGTGTGTGTGTGTGTGTGTGTGTGTGTGTGTGTGTGTGTGTGTATGTATATATATATATATATGTATGTATGTATATGTTAAATGAAGGTACCATATACATGAATGTACATCCGAATGGAAACAAGTAAACATGATTATATAGCACAAGAGCAGTGCGCTACGTACTTATGAGCGTGATCAACTCTTTTTTGTTTAAGAAACAAAAACAATTCCATTGATTAAGAACATTAGAGATAAAGAATACCATTTTACGCTTACAAACACAGTTGAAATACAATACAAAACCCCAACCATATAACAAAAATGAGAAGATAACGCTCAACTAATTTTTTTATTTTGGTTGCTTTAATTGAAATTAATATATAAATGTAACATCTCTATATAAATGCGCGAGTCTAGATAGAAAATAATATGTTGTGATGTTGGCTTATATGTCTATCAACCATATTAATATAATGTAAGACGGTGTCATTTAATACTACATTTTAGTGATATTTCTTTTATTTGTAAATAAATATCTTATTTCGATTTTCGTAAAAGATTAAGTCGAACCAAATTATTTGGTGAGCCTATTGTGAAGTTTACCACTCAAGTATTGGTTCATGGAACTAGATTTTATGTGACTTGACTAATTGATGCAGACTATTTATATAATTCATCAATTAGATAGATTCCTAACTGATTAAGGTATGTATTTAATTGAGATTTTTTTTCCTATTTAATTGGGATTTTGAATGATGTTAATAAATTTATATATTCATGACTTTTAATGGAGTTTAACTGATTTCTAAGGATTCTAATGTAAAATTTTGAGTGAATTTCCCTGAATTCTTAAGGGGAGAGGTAAAATTTGAGAACGCTTAAAATTCACACGGAATCTCTTGAATTCCCCAACTTTTACAAATATTTTAAAACTAATTTCTAATTTTTTTTTTGTCGAAAAAACTAATTTCTAATTAAATACACATAGAATATTATAATGCCCTTTAAAATCATGATTGAATACACTTAAATTTTCAAAGAATTACTTAAAAACCTAATTCAAGAGGAAGGGATCCGAAGAGGATCCCTTTCCATGATAATCTATACCACCTTATTAATTAAATTCTTTGTCGACATAAAAATAGTGTAGTATACCTTTTCATGCATAATTGGAAAATTATATCAACTAAAAAATTATGGGCATTGAAGTATTTTGGCACAAAACCAATTTTGCTTTTAAAAAAAAATTAAAAGATAAAGAATAAAAGTAAAATTTATCCTATTTCCATGTTTCCTAAAATTTATATTCTCACAAACTTCCTTCTCTTTTATATATATTTTTTTCTTTTTAAATCTTTTGTATTTAAACCAAACTTCTATGATCTAACAGTATTCTTCTTCATTTGTAAGTGATATGAGATTTTAGGTTCGATTCTCGCTCAAGTAAAATTTAAACTACATTATTGCTAGCCCATTATGAAACCTTAGCGTAGATAATATAGTTTATTAAAAAAAAAAAAAACCATCACTTGTCGCCTTTTTACCTCCCACCTTGTCCCACCAACTAAAAATTTTCAGTATGCCGAAAATATGATTCAGTACACTAAGTGTCATATTTTAAATGTTGAAATTTTATTTTAAATATTCAATCACCTTTATTATGACATATGGTATATCAGACGTGTTTCCCGTCACCAAAAAATTTCTCCCTCACCGATCTACCTTTAACCAATCAAAATCCACCACATGTCCAGCAACCCTCACGACCCTAACTCTGATTTGTGAATCAGCAAGAAAAGCAAATGCAAATTAGGTAACATTGAAAACCCATACGGAATCTGCTAATCTGCCAACTCACTCACGCGTCAAGAGAGATATTTTCAAATAGCAGATATTCAAGCTATATATTACATGTCATAAGTGAAGAAAATAATATATATTTTTGAGCTGTTTTGGTTATTTTATGATATGTGAAGTACTTTGATTGTCTAATATTTGAAAATTTCTCCACGCTCACCCTCAAAACTAAGATTATTCGGAACATTTCCTCTCAATTGCATTTCCACCGCTCCATCATTTTACATATTTTATTTCCGTATCCATACGTTTCTGCATACGATCACGATAGCATACCACCCCATCTACTTGCCTTGCCCCCACCCCCTAGATTTATTCCTCACATCTCTCTGCCCCTCCTCTGTGAGTCCTCTCACCCCTTTTGTCGGTGTTATCAGATCTTGCATAATACGAGCTCTGTGGCTCTCCCAGTGTTGCTTTTTCTTCATCTTTCTTCCCATTCTCCTTCGAAACCAAGTTAAATTACATAAGGGTACAATTTATTTTGTTGGTTTTGCTTCTGGATTGGAAAATGTTAAAGCTTTATGTGTTGGGTGCTTTATGGTGGTAGTTGGTGGGCTGCCTTATTGGTATTGCTCAGTGAGTGAGGTTTTGGGAGGATTGCAATCGGAATTGGAGGAGTGCATGAGGGATTTGGTCTTGTGGGTTATATGCTGGGTGAAGTTGGGATTGACAGTAAGGTGGGATTGTGGGCTTGTCATAAGGAGCAGGGGGAGGTGGGGCAAATGTGGCTGAGTCCTTGTGGGATTTGAGGACCTGGGCTCTTTCTATTTTTGCTTGATCTCAGCTGGCTTTTCGAGTTTTCGAGATTTCGAGTTCTGGGTTTGACACAGAGATGCAGGAGGATCACTCCAAGAAGGTGACTTTCAATTGGTTTCTGTTACTTAATCTCTTAATTGTTCCAGTTTTTTGATTTGTTGAAGTAATTATGTATCAATAACTGCAATCTTGTTTTATTTATTGCAACTTGATTTGATTCATGTTTGTGAAATTTGGTGCAGTCAGATTGTATTATTCTATGGGTTTATCATGAAAGTTGAGATCTTTGTGCATATTGAGATTTGATTTGGTCTGCTGATTGAGTGGGACATGTACGTTAAGCTAAAAATGTAACATAATTATTGGTTTTTTGATCTTACTTATCTATAATTAGCAGCTGTTCTTTTTTGTTTTACGTAACAGTCATAGACTCATAATGGATAACGGCATAAGTTAATGCGTTCCTTTGGAAGATTATGGTTTCATTCTTATTCTGGTGCTTTATTCAATTGAATTGAATGCTTATGCTTCTCTTTTGAGATCATTATATGCCAATTTCATGGCTCTCTGCACCTCTATTTCTGGACTAGATTCCTCTCTAATAAAATGATATTTCGCTCTGCGGGGCCTTTTATATATCTCGTTTTTCTGCATCAGTTTTTATTTCTGTCAATTTTCTTTGCCTGGCCCTTTACTGCTAAAACTGCCGGAATGGTTGTAAAAATTTGAGTTATTTGTTGTGCTTTTTTGTTTTTTGTTTTTTATTTTTAATTTTTTTTTCTTTTTTAAATTTTCTTGAGGTTGACATTTAGGACTTTTAGATATTGTCCTTATATGATTATATGTTCAGAAACGATTGACCAAAAAAAAAAAAAAAAAACAAAGATGTTCAGAAACCACAGGGGATTTAGTACGATCTTATAACTATATCATCATGGTTAGCGTGAATTATCATATAATCTGGAAGTTGGAAGATATTAGAAATATTGTAGTGATTGCATGGTATCTTATGATATTTTTAAAACTGTATTATTAAGAGCGACGATGTATGATATATATATATATATATATACACATATACACATGTATATGTATATGTATGTATGTATATCAATGTGTGCTATTCTTGTAACTTTGTTTGTCAGTGTGATGTCTTTGTGCTCAGAATTGTTGTATAGTTATACAAAAAACTCCTATGCTCATTTTCGTTTAGAATTATATGGTACTCTTTGATCATATAACTTGTTTTTTTTTATACTGTATTCTGATTGAATGGAGTCAATGCAACAGAATCAAACAGAGATGGACTTCTTCTCCGATTACGGTGATGCCAATCGGTACAAAATTCAGGAAGTTATCGGGAAGGGAAGCTATGGTGTTGTTTGCTCAGCAATAGACACACATACGGGAGAAAAAGTGGCAATAAAAAAAATACATGACATTTTTGAGCATATATCTGATGCCGCTCGTATTCTTCGTGAGATAAAGCTTCTTAGACTTCTACGACATCCCGACATTGTTGAAATTAAGCACATTATGCTACCACCTTCTCGAAGAGACTTTAAAGATATCTATGTTGTTTTTGAGCTCATGGAATCAGATCTTCATCAAGTTATCAAAGCTAATGATGATCTGACACGAGAACACTATCAGTTCTTTCTTTACCAGCTGCTTCGTGCATTGAAGTATATTCACACCGGTACTTCTCACTCTTCTTTGTGTGTATCTGCACATATGCTCTTGAGTTCCGTGGTGTTTCTAGTGGTTGATTGGCCTGTTCTGTACTTGGTTTTTTTTTATTGTACTCTTATGATTGGGATTCTCTTTTTCATTCTCTCTCCTTCCCCTCCTCCGTGTCTTTTATTTTTCTGGTTGGGGAGTGGGGGTGGTGGAGGATGCTGGGATATTTTGGACATCTCTGATACTCTAATTTGACTGCAGCAAATGTCTACCATCGAGATTTGAAACCGAAGAACATATTGGCAAATGCAAATTGTAAGCTTAAAATTTGCGATTTTGGGCTAGCAAGAGTTGCGTTCAATGATACGCCTACGACAATATTTTGGACAGTACGTAATTTTGTGATTTTATGTATTTTATCAGTGCTAGAGTGATTTTCAGAGCATGTGACAATGTTTCCAACATTATGTTTTAAATATAGCCACTAATACTTATTCATAATTTTTGGGGACATCTGCAGGATTATGTTGCAACTAGATGGTATAGAGCTCCAGAGCTCTGTGGATCCTTTTTCTCTAAGGTAACGCTTCTCAAAGATTTCTTAAACAATTTTATTCCATTACAGTTTAAGTAGGCACGAGTTTACAAGTCTGTTGATCTGAGTTTAGTAACTCAGCCCAGCTTCCATACTGTCATTTGGCTAAGGTAGTGCATCCAAATGCAACACATAACAGCTGCATTCTTACGATCATTACTTTGAACTTAGGGGAGTTGTGGCATGCCTGTTTTTTGTGTAAGTCACTTTCTAATAAGATCCTAGTTCATGAGCAAGTATTGTTTTTTTACTACCTATTAATTTGTGAAAGCATGTGAGTGCAGTATACCCCTGCAATTGATGTATGGAGTATAGGCTGCATCTTTGCTGAGGTATTGACAGGGAAGCCACTTTTTCCTGGAAAGAATGTCGTTCACCAGCTGGATTTGATGACTGATCTTCTTGGGACACCATCACTAGATACCATATCCCGGGTAACCCGTCTTTTTCTGATACAAAGCTTTCTTTTTCTCTTTAATTATTATTTATTTACGTTTGTGCCTAGCTTGATAAGTAATTCTTTTAAATGCAGGTTCGAAATGAAAAGGCAAGGAGATACTTAACCAGTATGAGGAAAAAACAACCTGTGTGCTTCGCACAAAAATTTCCAAATGCTGATCCTTTAGCACTACGACTTCTGGAAAGATTGCTTGCCTTTGATCCCAAGGACCGTCCAACTGCCCAAGAGGTTTGTCATAACATACTAGACTATCTGCTTTCTTTGTATTTCTTTTCGCGCGTGCCAGTGCATATATCCAGCCATTTTCTAGAATTAGAATGCATGTGAAAAATCTAGCTAGTGCATATACCTAGCCACTTTATAGTGAATGTGCTGAACTCCGCATTTTATTTTTTCACCAGGCACTCGCTGATCCTTATTTTAAGGCACTGTCAAGAGTTGAGAGGGAACCATCGTGCCAACCAATTACGAAGATGGAGTTTGAATTTGAAAGGCGAAGGGTCACAAAGGAAGACATACGAGAACTAATTTTCCGGGAGATATTGGAGTACCATCCTCAATTGCTAAAAGACTACATAAATGGAACTGAGAGAACTAATTTTCTCTATCCAAGGTTTGAACAGCCATATTTTCTTTTAGTATTCACATTTTGTTGTATAAATTGGTTAAGATTCTTTATGTTCTTTGCCCTAATGTTTGTCTCTATTTGTACGCAGTGCTGTGGATCAATTTAGAAAGCAGTTTGCACACCTTGAGGAGAATGGGGGTAAAAGTGGTCCAGTTATACCGCTTGAACGAAAGCACGTATCACTTCCGAGGTAAAATATAATTTACTTTTGTTTATTTTTTCACATATTCACAAGTGGCTCTCAAAATGATGCGTGCCAACTGTTGATGCACTGTCATCACCTTGATAGGACAAGGTTGGATCTATCATTAGGCAAGTTAGTAGTTTTCTAAGTGCTATGTGGAATGTCCTGCTACTTCCCTGGCCTCTAATATCAAACAATCCCTTTTTTGAGGACATCTCCTTGTTAGTTGTTGCCAGTGATCACACCAAGTAGTCGAGCCTATTGTTCTATCCCTTTTATAGTGCTAGGAGATCTTCATCTTATCTCTTCCATTCCTGGCAAAGCTGCACGTTTGATTTTTATCCAATTGTCTATGATTATGATAATTTCGAATGTGTTAAATACAGATCCACAATTGTACATTCAAATACGGTCCCTCCTAAAGAGCAACAAAATTATGCATTTTTGAAAGATCAGAAAAATGCCGAGGAGGCTTACAGGAATTCAAGGGATTCGGAAGCAGTTCATGTAAATCTATCAAGAACCATGCAAATACCACACAGAATTTCTTTGGGTACTCTCGATAACCTTTTAGAATTTGCAGCAATTCCATTCGTTTCTTATTTTTCCACTTAGTTTTAACTGGCTTTTGGGTACTTATCCAGCCAAACCAGGAAGAGTTGTTGGACCTGTTGCACAATACGATAACGGGAACATGATGAAAGATGCCTATGACCGGAGGACACTAGTTAGAGGTTCGGTACTTCCCCCTCAGGCTGGCCCTCCTGCTTATTGTTACCACAAGCCCAGCGCTGGAAATCAAGAAAGATCTGCAGTGGAAGGTGAGAGGGACTTGTCCTTGCAAGCCAAGCAAGCTGCACATTGTGGCATGGCAGCGAAAGTGGCACCAGATGTAGCTATCAGCATAGACTCCAACCCATTTTTTATGACTCGGGTGGGAGTCCCTAAAGTGGAACATGATGATCGAATTGCTATTGATACCCACTACCTGCAGACAAAGGCTCCATATGGTGGGATCGACGCTGCTGCTACCACTGCAGCAGCCCACCGTAAGGTTGGGACTGTTCAGTTTGGCATGTCAAGGATGTATTAGAGAGGGATCGAAAAGCACGCCAAGGGAGGTTGTGAGGAAGGCAGCCAGGTGAGGCGGTGCTTTCCTTAAAAGAGCCAACTTTCTCTGGTTATGTTTAGATACGAGTACGTTTATCTTTCGTTGAAGAAACTATATGTCAGCAAAGGTTATACAATAAAATTCAGAAACGAAACTCTCTTTGCTTTTGACGTGATTGTGAGTTGATATGACCAGAAAAAAGCATAACTTGCATGCCAAGCATGGTGTGCGTTGGTTGCAACAATTGCACATGGAAATTTCTTACGATGGTTTTATATGCCAATTTGGCCAGCATTCCACAAGTCACGATGTATGCAGATGGCTGCAGAGAGACTTACATGCGAGTGAAACGCTAACGTAGTGGTATGCCATGCCGTCGTCAGTGGCGGTATCTCAAGCTTATCACGAGATATTTGAATCAGTTACATGTAAGTTCTTCTCCACAACATGGAGCCTCTACGGAGTGCGGGGTACTGCTTTGCCGGTTCAATACCCGAAGCTCACTCTTAATGTCGTCTAGTACCAAACAGGACTAGCGAGGGGCCTAAACGCATTTTGGTTTGGGACATGAATCTTGAACGAGATCAGATCTTCTGCACCTAAAATAGGTGCGGCCTCTATGGCCCTAATAAGTGTTTTTAACACATTAAGATAATAAGGACGTGTCAGCCACTTAATTTTGGATGCAAAAGATTTGGTCTCATGACTCTCATCTTGAACATAATACGATTCTCTGACCGAAGCTCAAATGTGACCTAGTGTCAACGTTCCATCTTGCCCCGGATGGCCAGTTAAACGCTCAAAGCCAAGTCTTAATGCCGTCTAGGCCGGCCCACCAAAGGAGAGTATGGGCCATAACCATTAGGCCTATTACTTGACAGCTTCTTCTTTCTCCCTACTTTTGCGGTGCTGCATGTGCAGGTGCAGGTGCAGCCGCGCCATATGGATTATGGACCCCTTTGCTCGAATGTTTTGTCCCCATGAACACCATCACATGGACCCAGCCTAGCCCCGCCTTCTTCCTTCCCTCCCCCACATCCATCCACATCCACATCCACATGCATTCTCCTCCACCCCCGGATTAATCGCTAATGGTGACTTTATGTGTAATTCCTGTTGAATACGGTTGTAACTAATGCATCTGGTCGTTATTCCGAAATTCATGCCCCTCGAGAATGAGAGTATCTTCCCATATAAAAGCTCTATCAAATAGATTGTTATTTTCTCAGACATCATTAATTGTTGCAGGACCAAGAACGAGAAAAACTTACCTATAACTTTTCTCACATATATTATGTCACGTGGGAATAACCTGAACTTATATATTAGCGAAAATATAATTTGGATAAGTTTTTCTGTGCGGTAACGATTGAGTTTGCACTTGGCTTATAGACCTCACCCAACCGGGTCCTGCACAAGCTTGTACTTGACTCCAGTACGGATCGCAAAAATAAAACAATACTAATAGTATTTATGATGCAATAAGTAAATAAAATTCAAAGCAAAATCCGATTTGATTCTGATTGTGATTTGTGTTCCGAGATATGTTATTAAATTATTTATTTTTAGGTCGAATAATAAAGTATAGTATAATCGCAAGAGGATGTGGTGTGTGAATGTGACAGCAACAAAAGAGGATGTAGGATTTGGGTGGCTCTGATCACATGTAGCCCCATATGCCCAACAACACCGAATCTCTCTCTCCCAATCCCAATGAACCAACCACCCGCTGTTTCCTCCTTGGAAACACCACCACTCCTTCACCTATAAACACCTCATTCACTTGCTCCTCACCATCTTCAACCCAAGAAAAAGTAAGTTATCGATAACGGTAATGGTAATACTAAGGAGGATAAAATTTTAAATAAATTTTTATAAATTAATGATTATAACTGATTGAATTATTAATTAAAATATCAGATGTTAATTTGATAGTTGACGTCGTAATGTCAGATTTTTTATCTTCCAACCTATCTGTTTTGTTGTTATTAATGATATTTGTAGACTCATTTTCAAAACAAAAAAGATCAATTAAAATGATTTTTCATGATTTATAATTTGTTCATTAATAAGATCCACAAAATAAAATAATTAAAGAATTAATTAACAGCTAGATAGATTTTGTACCGATGATATTGTCATTCTCAATAAGTTATTTGATATTATTTGTATTCAATTTTAAATTAAAAATTAAAAATAATTTATAACCGTACGATATACGATAAAATAACACAATTAATTGATTATTCGAATTCCCACAAAAATGATCCAAAGAGGATCCTATTCCGTTTTTGTGGGGCTCAACTAAGGGTGGGTCCGAGAGAAGTGCCACTTGGCAATCATGCCACGCTACTGATGTAGATCACAGGAAGGAGAGAGGAGAGGAGAGGAGGGGTGGGGCGGCATTGAGGCACATGGGCGGTGTTAGGTTCGAGAAAATCATGTGATCACATGTGCTATCTTTCCCTTTGTTTTCTACCGTGGGACCCTCCACTCTCCCCTATACCCTATGCTATTGTGAGGCCACCCGCACCCGATTCCAAGGAGGGTTTTTTGGACTCTTCCAATCCACCACCTGGTCGTTTGGGTCTCTTTACTATTTGTTTTTATTTCTTTCTTATTAATTATTGTTTAATACCGAATTAGTGGCCACTTAGTACATGATTTAGAAGTATTCTTCTTTATTTGTAAGTGAGAGATATTATGTTTAATTTTCATTTAAGGTAAATTTGAACCACATTATAATTTATGGTCGACTAATTATGAAAGATCTTAAATTCGATTTTCTTTAATGTGAAGGAAAAAGTTAAATTTTGACTCTAGTACCATGAACTTATACAGGACTATTAACCACCTAACGTAATTCTTATATCAACATTACAAAAAATTATACAAAACATAAAATAACAAAGAGTTCATGAGGAATTATACTTTTAAGTATCTCCTCAACGTTTCTGAATAAAATTACATAACATTGGTCTTGATAACTTAATAACCAAGCCAGCGCGCTCGACTAGACTCGTGGAAGAGTAAAGGCACTAGATTCCATGTCCAGAAACAAGCTAGGGCTTGGGAAGCCAAAAACTTTGTGGGCCTAAAGCTTCGTTGGCATTGACATTTCTAGCAGCTCAACAATAATTTAACGGCAATTCCTCCTTCACTTCACAAAGTCATAAGTTACACACACCTCTCTCTCTCTCTCTCTCTCCCCTCTCTCTCTCTCTGTGACTCTCCTCCCCTCTGTATTTCTTCATCAATGGATGAAGCTCAGACTCAAACCCTAACACAAACCCAGCTACCCAAATCCACATTCAAGAGGAAACACAGAAAAACCCAGCAAAAACCCCCCTTGGGAAATGCGGTGCATGGATCTTTACCCAGCATAAACCGGCTGCAGACAGCTGCGGATTCGACTCACAGAAGAAGCAGAAAACAGAGCACGAAGGGTGAAATGGTCAACGATGTAGAGACCGCATGTCGAGAGGAGGAGGACGGTGAGGAGGAGGTGGAGAGGAAGATTGAGGCGTTGCAGAGGATTGTTCCCGGCGGTGAGTCGCGCGGGGTGGACGAGCTTTTTGAAGAGACTGCTGGGTACATAATGGCGTTGCAGGGTCAGCTCAAAGCCATGAAAGCACTTGCCAGCTTGGTTGAAGGTTTGGAGAAGGAGAAGAGGAAGTTTGGAGGTTGAATTGATTAATTAGTTCTTAATTAATTAAATTATGGGATCTCTCGCTGATTGGGAGTTTGAAAAGTTCTTAATCAGGTTCCATGGCAGACGAATGAAATCCTTTTTTTTTCTATAAATTCGATTTAATTTGTTGGGTTACTTGGCTAGCTTTTTTTTCCTACTTCTTTTTTTCACCTTTTCGTTCTTCTTTCTTCTTTATAATGGTAGTTTTTAAATATTTTTGTAATGAACAAATGGATAGGAAAAGATCAAGGTTCTCTAGTACTAAAGAAATGATATATATATATTTCCTACTTCTTTTTTTCACCTTTTCGTTCTTCTTTATAATGGTAGTTTTTAAATATTTTTGTAATGAACAAATGGATAGGAAAGGATCAAGGTTCTCTAGTACTAAAGAAATGATATATATATATAAAAGCCCTTTTGCTACACCGGAGTAATCAAGCGTTAACCAGTTAGTAATATAAAATAACTGGATCATAATTTGCAGGAATTTCATGAGTGCTGCAAATGCAGAAATATAACTGTATTTGGAAGGGCAAGGAGTGTGTGTGTGCGTGTAATGCTTGATCTCTTTTGTTTATTTGTTTTGTTTGTTTACTGAGGAAACTAGTGGCAATTAGTGTCCCAAGTAAAGAAATTAGAAGATGGTTAGCATGTGGTTAGTGAGCTACTCTCAATGACTAAACTTTAATGCTATATATTGATTTTGGCACCCCCTCCTATACATATGAAATATTAATAATAGTGCAGTTTAGATGAATGAGGTCCAAAGGTAACTTCCAAATGGTGTTTTTGACTTTAATTTGAACTTATTGTTAATCAATTATTGTAATTAGCCTCCTTAAAATATACATAAACTCCAACACACATGACAATAATTTAAGTTTTGAGGCTTAATTTAAGTAATCTAGGCTATGAGAATTAATCTTTTTCATGTTGTATTACATATGAGTTAGAGTAGAAAGTGAGAGAGTGAATATTTGGTAATAAATACATAATTAATTTTGGTGTAATGTAAATAGCGGCAAAAAGAGTCAAATTAAAGAGCAACGACCGATAAGAGTCGATCAATAATGAGATAGTAAACCTTTTTTAAAAAGAGCTATGAAGAAGTGACAATCAATAATGAGATCATTACCTCAGTCGAAAAGAGCCAAATTATAGAGGAAACGATTGACAAGAGTCAATCAATTATGAGATCGTCAACCTCAACCTTAAAGAGCTAAATTAGAAGGAGGCGACCAATAAAAATCAATCATTAATAGATCATTATAAACCTAAACCATAAATAGTATTTCTTGAGGTGACATACATTCGTGTTTATATCTTTCTTTTTTCATACTAAGTCAGTATTCATAATCTGTGCGAGTTCAACTAATTTGATTCATTATTTGGAGCATTGTCTCCCCTTTTACTCGACAATAACATTATAAAGTTGGTGATTTAGATTAGTTTTGAGATTTTCTGGTGGGATAAGATCATGTTTGTCACCCACGATGTTGTGCCAAAAAATACATACTTGTTGATGTCATCGCTTGCGGCTTTGTCCAACCTTTCAAGTTTCAAATGTTAGACTTTGGACTCGACAAATCTAATGTCTAAGGTTATACTTGTTTAGTCAAAGTACGTAACTGGATTTGCCACTTTTTGGCATTCGATTATTGGCAACTGATGATCAAATCAAACCAGTTTTGTAGGGGCAAGTTCTGCCTATGGTGCCAAAGAACAAATTGCTTTTAATTATAACTTGGAAGCATTTTACCACGTAACCATTGCAAGAATTATTTACGAGTATTTTGAACGCTCTTTTGGTGCATTTTAAAACCATCGCCTAACAAGTTAAGATAACTGCGCGTTGAAATACAAGTTGAATCTTCTCGACTCATATAAAATAAATTGGACGTGGATCTAACGCATCTGCATCTACATATGGTGGCCTAGTTTCCACATTCATATTGCGCCAAACAAGCAGAAGCAAGTTGAGACGTTGAGATGCAAAAATTTATGGGTGCAATAGTTGGAACCCACCATCCAAGTATCCAATTGCAACGGGTACACGCAATATACATGCAACTTATGGAGCCTTCGTTTCGTTTGCTTGCACTCAGAGTGATGAATTAAGAAAGATAAGAAGAAACAAAGGAAAAGTGGTAGGGTGTTGTCTTACAAGATATTAGAAGAAAAAGAAAAGCTAGCTCTGTCTGCGAATTGCAGGTGGTCCTCTCGTGGAACATTCATGGTATTATTAAACAACGGACCTGCATTCGAGAAAGGAACAGCCCGCCCAGACATATATGTTGGACTTTGGACAGCCTGTATTGATCTTTGTCTGTACCGCCTGTAAAATTAACTTGTTTCTTCCATTTATTTTTCTTTAAGGTTACGGCAAACCAAATAAATACTGCATGCTTTGTCCATTCTCTTGTGTTCGTCTTCTGCCCCCCTCCATTTCCATGCTTTGCTTGATTCAATTGTTTTCCAACGAGTACAATATGGAGAGAGAGAAAATATACTTATTTGGACAATGGAGGATACAAGATTGGGCTTGGTTTTGGTTGTTTAGTGTTTCAACATAGATTAATTACAATGGGCCTCTTTGAATTGTGAGCCCTATTTAAAGAGTGGTTTCTGTGTACACCCTATTTTTTAGAAATCCGGATTCTTGTTAGATCCTCTTTGTGCTGATTCGAGGATCTATGAATCATATCCATTTATCATACATTATGCGGTTAGAAATTATTTTAAATATTTTTATTTAAAATTAAACACAAACGACATATGACAAAGATTGACCGCATGATATACAATGAACGTACATAATTAACGGATCCCTAGGATCATCATCAAAAGGATTCAGAGAGGATACTGTTGGATTTTTTAGCATCCTCAATTAAATTTTTATATTTATTTGCACACCCATGTAATTTGTAATATTCTTGAATTATCCATATTGTTGGAATTAAATTCGCGCGCTACCATGAGTAATGGAAATGCTCGAATCAAAACACACAATCGTAACCAAGCCTAGGACATGGGGGTGGGTGGGTGTGTGCCAGTCAAAGGCTTTCTGATGCTCAAGTTAGTAAGCAATATTAAAATTTAAGAAGTAGGCAAGATAATAGGTGTGTAGAGATTGTGTTACTAGAGACAAACCTTGAAAGGGTGTATTTATACCAGTCGAGGAAAAAACCTTTTAGATAGTAGAATCCATATTAACCGGGAGATCCATGAGGATATCTAGGAAGTAGATATTGTACCTTCTTAGGAGTGTGATCACTTGAGATGCACATCAATCTTAGATTGTAAGGATTCCAAGGTTATAGGAAACCTGCTGATTCCATGCTGGATTAGGTTCTTGAATCTTGCGAAACAAGAATGGTTTATCTCAGTGAAGTTGACGGACTCCAATGTTATAGGAAACTTGCTGATTTCATGATGGATTAGGTTCCCAAATTTGTAGAATAAGAATGGTTTATCTCGATGGACTCTAATGTTATAGGAAACCTGCTGATTTCATGCTGGGTTAGGTTCCCAAATCTTGCAGAACAAGAATGGTTTATCTGAATGAAGTTGACGAACTCCAAGGTTATAGGAAACTTGCTGATTTCATGCTGGATTAGGTTCCTAAATCTTGCAGAACAAGAATGGTTTATCTCAATGAAGTTGACGAACTCCAAGGTTATAGGAAACATGCTGATTTCATGCTTGATTAGGTTCCCGAATCTTGCGGAACAAGAATGGTTTTTCTCAGTGAAGTCGATAGACTTCCACTGACTGATGGTGGCATTATTGATCCGTTTAGTTAACTCTGCGATGAAGGCTGTTAAGTCTATGAATTAGACTTCTGAGGTAGGCGTACTTTGATCCATTGTACCTTGACCTTGGAAAATCATATTCCCACAATTGTCTCTAACTAGCATTGGAAATGACTTGTTCCCCTTGAAGATGGGTAGCTATCTAAAGACCATGCCTTTCAAAGTAAGTTGGAATACGTATCATTTTCTGCCTTTTAAACACATGGCAGCTTAACTTCATTTTTTGTGAGCCTTTGGACATCGAAGTGTTCCGTATCCAAGCGTACTATCTTGTAAATCATACTTGGGCTGTGCTTTAGTTTTTTTTTTTTTTTTTTGGTCACCTTGAAATGTTTAAAAACCTAATGGAGTTATTTGAAATATAATGTATATTTTTCTCTTTTATCTAAAGCTCCCAAATTTACACTAACTTTTTTTTTTCAAGAAAATAAACTTTACTAAAAAGAGGCGAAGTCATTTTGCATCTTAGTACTAAAATGTAGAGGTATTCCTCTTCACTTGTAACTGAGAGATCTTAGGTTTAATACTTGTCAAGGAAGAATTTAAATTACATTATTATTAGCCCATTGTGAGATTAAGCCTATTCCTCCTTCTAAGTATATGAGTATTGATAATATTGTTTGTTTATTTAAAAAAAAAATGGAGAAGTCACAGGAGTACACATACAGTTAAATTTATACTAGCTTATGATGTTATGTATAAAATGTGGCGCATCGTATTTGTCCCCATAACTGTCAACACGTGCACCGCACCATCCAGCCGTCCGTCCCTCGTCAGAGATAATTAGATTCGATGGTCTAATTCTAATTCTACAGAAAAAAGAAGACGAAAAAGGGATAATGGAAATTTGTCAGCAGCAGAAACCCTAAAACTCGATAGCCCCCTGTTACTCGCATCATTCTCATCCCACGCACGCTCGCAGATCACTGAACCGCCATTGCTGATTGCTTTCAGGTTTGCTCTCTCTCTCTTGATAGAGAAAATTGGCTGTGATTTTCTCGGTTGCCAAACAGGGATTTTTGAAATTTTGTAGTTTTTATTTGCGGATTGTGATTGGCGTTCTGTTGTCTGTTTGTTTGTGTGTGTTTTAGGGTTAGAAATGGCAGAGAAGACGACGGTTGAAATCGTGGACGATCAGGCTGAGGATTTCTTCGATGCCGATCAGGCGGCGGGGTTCGGCCGCAAGGTCGAGGGTTTGGAGCGGGAGAAGCTTGAGCTGCAGCGCGAGAACAAGGAGACGAAGGAGAAAATCCAGGAATTGACGGCGGAGATCGAGAAATTGAAGAGCAGCGAGAAGGACACGAAGGAGAGGCTTAGGGAGATGGAGTTGGAGATCGAACGGACTGAGGAGGGGAAAGATGTGCTGGAATCGGTTGCGAATAGAGCGATGGAGCTTGAGACTGAGGTAGCGAGGCTCCAACACGATCTGATCTCCGCCATGGCCGAAGTGGAGGACGCGAATCACGAAGTTGCGGAGCTGAAGCGTGAGTTGGGAGAGAAAGGGGAGAAAATTGATAGCTTGGAGAAGGAGCTCGAGAGCCTGAAGAAGGCGAAGGCTGATAGCGAGAAGAGGGTTAGGGAATTGGAGAGGAAGATTGGGGTTTTGGAAGTGAAGGAGACTGAGGAGAAGAGCAAGAAAATTAGGGTTGAGGAGGAGATGAGAGAGAGACTTGATGAGAAAGAGAGCGAGCTTAGCTTGTTCAAGAAGAAAGTGGAGGATTTGGAGTCAGTTATTGCGAAGAACAGTGCTGAATTGGGGAAGAGAGTGAACGAGAGGGTCAATGTCGAGGCAGCGCTGAGGGAATCGGAGGATAAGTGCAGAGCCATGGAAATGAAGATGGGACAATTACAGAAGGACGTGATGGATGCTGAGAAGGTTATTACTGGATTGAAGGAGAGGACTGTTGAGGCCATTAATGGTACTGCGAATGAAATGAAGGAGATTCTGGAGGGTGGAGAGACGGGGTCGAAAGGATTGAGCTTGCCAGTTGTGGCAGGGTCTACTGGAGTCGTTGTTGCAGCAGCAGCTGCTGTTCTCTATGTGTTGTATGTAAGGCAGAGGTGATTGGATTGCAATGCGGCATTGAGGAAAGAAATCCGGGCAGTTTAACGCTAGAGGTTAGGGTTTTTATTTGGTTAAGAGCATATCGCAATTTTGTTAGAATTACTGAATCTTTTTTGTTGGCTTTGGTTTTCTTGCGAGCCTATCTTGTTAGCTCTATCATTTTGGAATGATGTTTTGTTTGAAGAAATCCATATATCTAGTTCATACTTTGGCTATAACTATTTTGTATTCGTACACTGTGTGCTCCAAGCCATTTTGAATTGCTTGAATAATACAAATTTTGCATTAAGAGTTTTTGCTAATTATTTGATGGTTTTTAAGCACATTGTTAATTTGATATCTCGAATTCAAACAACTTTCAAGTTTGTTCAATTGCATTGTTGACGCTTTCCTTAAAGTTCCATTTGGTAGTTTTTGAAGAAAAGTTGACGTTTAATAGTAGAGCTAGGAAGCATCACTTACGGTGCCATGTTGCTCCCCCTTTTTCTCCCTTCTCAGGGTTGTGCTGGGTTCTGAATTCTACCAATTATGTGCAATTCCATTGTTCTGGTTAACTGTTGTATACTTCCTTTTGAGGATCAGCAACATTATGCAGTGATCATATGCTGCATCCTGAAGCAGTAAACAGGCGAACATTCATGAAACTTACTTTGTTCATGTTCATATTTTTATGCGAGTTCGAACCTTTCTTACGCGAAGTTAATCTTCTGTTCATGTACGCCTGCGCCCTAAATGACATGGTGAAGTTGCCCATTATAAGGTTGACGTCACCACGTCATTTAGGGCAAAAACTTGCATAAAACCAGGTGTATAACCCCTCTCTGATCTAAGTTTCTCTCGTCCTTGAGGATTTCTTGCTAACCAACTCATAAACTTGTGCAGAAAGAAGGTAGAACTGTTTTATCTTTTGTTTTGTGTCATTGCAGTTCGTTTCATTAGTGCGATTGAGTGAGTTTGAGTAAATAAGTGATGAGGATGGCGTAATGAGTTAGAATTACGATAGTTCAGGATTTCATTCACTTCAATATAGCAAAAGAAATGCGTTTGAGCATCTCAGTATTGCCTTGTTGCAACGGTTTTTCAACTCCAAGATCAGGTGGTGTACCTTTGGGCCACTGAGGTTCGCTTTACATGCACAACCATCCGCCTGTCGGCCTAAATCTATCATGACTATTCTCGTGATGAGAGAGATGTATCGCGGACGCTAACAGTTAATAATTGAAGACTCAAGCCTGAACTGTCTTTAGCATTAACCATCAATGTGTATATGATGTACATTTGGTAACAAATCCTTGACCAAATAAAAATAAAAGTGAAATCTTCAGTACATACAAATCATTGAAAGGAATATAAAAGAACGCTTCTTTAGTAAATACGAAAAATATACCAGATAACGGAATTCACTCCACGCGAAATAACGGAATTCACTCCACACGAAATCACGAAAACCAATCTCATATCCTCAGCAGCTAACACAAAATCAAGCTCTAAGTCTCAAACACTATTTAGATTTAGGGTTAGCTGTGCAACCTTCATGGCTCAGTTACACCAGCGATAATGCTTCGTTTCTGAAGAATAGAAATCGGAAAAGAAGATACAGTTAGCCCATCGTTTATTGACAAATGATACGATATTCTACTCTAAATTCATTTAAATTACGGGAAAGAGAATTCGAACTTGGGTACAGAGGGAAGAGGGAGGAAGTACATTGATATGGTCAACTTGACTAAGCTCAGGTCTATAGTTAGCCTAGAGTTTAAGAAACAAAGTGTTTGGCACGATGAATACAATTGACAGTCATGGAGGTGTGCGTGGGCAACTATCAGCCATTGATGCGTAAAAACCACTTCGATCAACGACTGACAGTTGCTCCCAGGCTGATTAACCATCTCTAAGACAACTTATATGTGCATACGTGTGACTACTGATAGACCCATACAGTACAGGCCACCCACAAACGGTAAAGCATATTTATGAAGCAATATTCCGATATACAAGAGTTCATATGCCAAAACATGACAGCACTTGACAGCATATTCCAATACATCACAAGGACAACTTTTGACATAAAAAGAAAGATGGCAGAACAGCAAAGTATTCGGATCGAAACGAAAGAAATCAAGTACATAGTCTGAACCGGTGATGCTGCTTCAAGTTCAACTAATTATTTTAGCAAGAGTATTATCTTCATTTAATTACCTTGAATTATCTATCGGATCTTCGGTGCAGAATTTCGAAGAGTCCACAGCAACTCCTCCATGAAGTCGGCTGCAGGGGGGGTCCGGCGACAGATACAATCGACTGCCAACAGAGAAACAAACAATTAGTCATTGATTTGAAAAGAATTTTATGTAGCTACAAAAGTTACTAACAATTTAAGCAACTTATTAATTACCGGATTTCCTGTGCTTTCGGGGATCTCAGCCTTGCCATGATCTTGTCCGGCATCAGCTGATTCGACTGCAGGAACCTCTTCCTTGTAAGCAGTACCCGATGACTCCCCAGTTTGCTCTTTGGAAACCGGTAACCTTGTTTCCTCGATCCCCTTCGACACAATATCTGCAACAGCAGCAGGAACCGCTTCCTTCTCATCCTCCTTGGACACCAGATCGGTCTCGACTAGAGCAACCCCATTACTCTCTTCCACATATGACAATGTTTTTTCATCAACCTGTTTCAACATCTCCTCCGCGATGGCCGGCGAAGATTCACCAGTCTCATCCAAAGACTCCGCGACTTTCTCCTCCTCCTCCACCTTGGTTTCCACTACAACACTACCTTGATCTAAATGATTGTACACAGATTCAACCGTCTCAACAACCGAGACAACAACTTCTTCGGTCTCCTCCACTTCCCCAGAATCATTCGCCACTCGAGCACCTTCCGCCTCTTCATCCGAACTACTACTTGAACTCGAACTCGAATCATCAGCATCATCGCGGGTTTCCTTTGCAGGCTCGGAACAGTCATCGACAGCCACGTCCCTCACAGATTCAACCACAGGTTTTGAGTCGCCAACATCCTCCGGTTGAACATTTTCGGCGCCATCCAACTTCCCATTCGAAGAATCCGCCATTTCGTTAAGATCTGCAGAAACTTTCGGCTCCTCCTCCTCCTCCTCTGCAAATGAATATTGATTAAAAGAATAGCTTTCACAAAATATATTCAAGTTAGAAAATTGCTATATACACACACACACATACACACAAATTAACAAAGTAGAAAGTGAAGATAAAGCAAACTAAAAGGAGTTGGCAAATTACAGATAGATGAATGAGAAATGTATGACAAGTCAACCTATGTGGAATCCAATTGCCAATTGCCAATTAAACAAATAAGAAAATTGGAATCCTAGAGAGAGAGAGAGAGATATATATATATATATATATATATATATAGAGAGAGAGAGAGAGAGAGAGAGAGAGAGAGAAAGAACCTGGGACTTGTTGGGGTTGAAGGGTAGGGGGAGATTGACGGATGGTTTTGGCAAGTAGTTTTGATGTGATTTTCTTTGAACGTGGAGGCATGGTTTAATTTGTTGACTGGTTGCTAAGAACGTAGAGAGAGAGAGAGAGAGAGAGAGAGAGAGAGAGAGAAGGCGATGAATTTTAACGTGTTTTGAAATTGAAACCGTTAAGGGGGGAACTCAACCAACCACAACGTTGTCGGTATTTGCATTCTGCAGGCAGGGCGTGGGACGGGCCCTTCACAAGTTATAAAGGCGGGCGTCTGAGTGATACAATACAACCAAGAGTCACAAGAGTCGCACCACCCCCAATGTAACGTTCTAGCTTTGAGTCAGTGGTTGCGATGATGAATGTAATGGGGGCCATACCGCATCGTTTTGCTTTGCCGAATTTGTCCGCTGACTCGAAACATCTGATACTCTTGATTTTAACTATTGTTCTTATCAAAAACATAAAAATCAAGATTTAACGGTTAAAATCGTAAAGTATTCTACATTCCAAAGCAACATCGATTTTTGTTTGCTTTGTTGTGATTGGTAAAGTTTTCGTATGCATAGTCCGTGTTTTAAGTTTATTGTTTTCTTTTTTGATACAAAGATAAGTTCTTAGGGAGGGGAAGGACTTCATGAGTTCCTTTGTTCTTTTATTTACAAAACTCTATTATAAATTGCTCTAATTTATAAAAAATCAGATTTTGAATTTAAGTGTAAAGGAACAAACATACTGTCTTAACTAACTAATCCAAACAAGTCTTTTTTGTCCTTTTGTCACCGGAACTTGTATGATTTTTTTCTTTTTCTTTTTGAACATTAATAATAATAGAGATGGAAAATCAAATTCACAAACAAAGTGTATGGGCGACTGCTCAACTGAGATACAAAAGCGATTTTGAGAGGAAAAAGCTTGTAAATACTGAGGGGGGTTGGTGGTTATAACTTTTATGCCAAATCAATCGACATTAAGGGACCATGTGAGTGGTAATCTCAAGATTGTGAAATGAGGGACCATTTCCTAAACATTAATGGAAACCTACCTACTAAAGTTGTCCCTTTATTTTATTTTTATATAACAATATATTTACAATAAAATATGATAATTGTTATTAGTACTCCAAAAATCTCATTCTACACTCCAAACTTTCTATATTGGGAAAGAAAAATACACTTGTGAGGAGTGTAGAATGAGATTTTTGGAGTGCTAATAGCACTTCCCTAAAATATAGAGAAAATAGTTGGATCGAATTTGTTATTTATAGTAAGGGATGAAGTTTTGAAGTTAAAATTATTTCACTTACAAACGAAGATAAATATCATTACGAGGAAGGTTAAGGGGGTCTTCTCAAAAGTATGACTCTCTATGGACTCTCCGACACCTTATATTTTTGGCACGAAAATTAACGTTAAGGTGCAAGATATTGAACAGTAGGGATGGGCACTTAAAACCAAAAACCAAAATCGAAACACAAACCAAATTGAACCGCACCGAACTGTTTGGTTTTGCGGTTTTGAAACGGTTTCGGTTTTGAAACTGAACCGCAACATAGAAAACGGTTTGGTTTCGGTTTTGGCTTTTGAAAACTGCATCGAAACTGAACCGCACTACAAATATTAATAAATATTTAATTAAATGTCCATATTAGATTTCATGTGTAATTGGTTGTTTGTTAGAATTTATACACTTATTATGGACTCAATCACACTAGAATATCATCATTCATCACTTTCTTTTGTTCATTAACTTGAAGGACCTTTGTTATTTTATATCATCACACACACATATATGTACAAGGATGGACTAATCTTGTTATCAAGAGTCAAACAATGATCTAATGAAGTTCACTCATTTGAAGCATGATATCACATATTCTAATATGAAAGTTTTGCTCACGTTTAATGAATTCAAATTTATTCAACTTGTTTTATGATAAACATTGTAAGGGACACCTTTTTGTTGCACAAACATGTTTTAATATCACAACTACATGCAACATGCTAATTGTTTACATACCAAATGTCTTTTTCCTATTGCTATTGGGAAATGCTTATTAATATGTTAAATTGCAAATTGTACATTTTTTCTTAAAAACCAAACCGAAACCGTTTGAAACCGAACCAAACAGTTTAGTTTCATTTCGATTTTGGCTTTAAAATCGCACCGAATCGAACTGCAAAAAATTTTGGTTTCGGTTTCACTCAAAACCGCACCAAACCAAACCGTGCCCACCCCTATCGAAAAGTTTCATTTTTGAAAGAATTCTCTTAGCATTTATCATATCAATACCGTATTACTAAGTGGCACTCCAAAACTATCGTAACTAATTTTACTCCATAACTACCATGAGTGGAATTTGAACATGCCTTGCCATGATTTGCTTTTTGTATTGAAACCAAACAAGGCCAAAACTTAACCACTTATTTTCTCAGCCCAATTAAAATTCGGGCCAAACGCAAGAATCAATCCAACCCTACTGAACCCCATTTTTACAGCCCAAATCAACATTACAATTCTCAATCCCAACTTTCTCCCAAAAACCCTAAACCCCCAAAATGGTCATATCTTTCCTCAGTTTAATCGTCCCTCTCCTTGAAACCCTAGCAAAACATCGTGCCTTTGTCTCTTCCTTCACCACTGCTTATTCTCTTCCTCCGCCTCCATGGCCGCCACCACTCCAGCGCCTCCACCTTCAGCCACAAAACCCACCAAATCGATCACCAAAACGGTGCAGAAAGCCGTAAACGCCCTCATCAAATGGCGGAACGACAAGCTGCAGACCCAGAACCCCGATCTCCTGGAATCCGACGAGTTCGCCTACCTAGTTCTCACCCTCAAGAAAATCCCGCAAAAGGGTCGCGTCAACGCCTACAAAATCCCCATCCCAAATCCCGTCCACTCCCAACTCTCCGAGGTCTGCCTGATATACGACGACGGACCCAAGTCCGACCTCAACAAGGACTCCATCGAGAAGAAAATAAAGGCCGAAAACATACCCGTGTCGAAAATCTTGAGGCTTTCGAAGCTCAAGAGCGATTACGTGCCCTTTGAGTCCAAGAGGAAGCTGATGTATTCTTATGACATGTTTCTGGCTGATAAGCGGATTGTGCCGTTGCTGCCGAAGTATTTGGGGAAGCACTTCTTTAAGAAGAAGAAGATTCCGGTGCCGGTGGACTTGCAGCACAAAAATTGGAAGGAGCAGGTGGATAAGATTTGTGGGTCGGCTTTGTTGTTCTTGAGTACAGGGACGTGTAGTGTGGTGAGAGTTGCGAAAGTTTCGATGAGCATTGATGAGATTGTGGAGAATGCAGTTGCGGCGATTAATGGGATAGTGGAGATTGTGCCGAAAAATTGGGGAGGTGTGAGGTCGTTTCATTTGAAGTTGTTTGAATCGCTTGCGTTGCCGGTTTATCAGGCGGTTCCAGATGTGACATTGAAGATTGAGGGAGAGAAGGGGGTTGAGGAAGGTGAGAAGGAGGTGAAAGAGGTTGTTAAGAGTGAGAGTAAGGATTTGAAGAGTGAGAAGAAGAGTAAGAAGAAGGGTAGGATTCATGAAGTGAGGTATTTGGATAGCAATGTCAGCGAGGTGCTTGATGATGATGATTTCGGTATTGTTGGTGGTGTGGACATTGGGGAAGGTAAGCAAAGCGAGAATGATGAACAGGGCAGTGGCGAATTGGGGAAGAAGAAGAGGAAGAAAGAAAAAGTTGCTGGTGAGTTGAAGGGTGAGAAAAGGTTGAAGAAATCAGCTAAGGCGAAAGATGATGCTGAGTTAAATGGGGAAAAGGTTATTGGTGAAAAGAAGTTGAAAAGGTCGGCGAAGGCAGGAGAAGAAGATGGGATGTCCTTGAAAGAGAAGAAAAAAGATGTTACAAAGAAGAAAGCAGATGATTCGTTGGCTCAAGGAGAAGAGTCCATTGGAAAGAAAGAGAAGAGAAAGAGTAAAGAGTCTGTTGGAAAGAAGGAGAAGAGGAAGAGTGAAGATGAAAAGTTGAAGAGCACAGAAGCAAACCTGAAGAAGGCCAAGAGAAGTAAGAAAGCAGCAGAGTGATTCGGGATAACAGGCTGCAGGCGAATGACAGGCTTTGCGGTGGGATTCAATACATCCGGGCAAGTGTGGCTAATCCATAGAGTCGTCTGGAAGAATTTTGATTGTTGTGTATTTTATTCTGGTATTGAAATGATGATCTTATTTGTTAGTTTATGAGTTGACATTGCCTATTTACTTAGTTATAACTTATGGAGATCATACAAAATCTTTACTTTTCCATCGTGGTTTTTCTGCAGTCGCTTAACTCTGAATTTGATTGTGTCTCTATGAGTCTATGACTTAAACTTGTATCCCTATCTCCAATTATAAGTGAAGATAGCATTTCTTTGCACCAACTTGCATCTCCGTATCATGAAAATCTTTCGTATTGATTAGATTTGATATTCAAACTCAGTCAAAGTTCCTTGTTCGTGAGTGGGCTGTTGCTTTGTTTAAGGTCTACCTGCGGCTTTTGTGAAACCCTTCTATCAGCACTTTCATCTCTGTTTTGTGCTATACTCTAGCAGACAGAAGTGCAGGAACGTGTAGCTTCATATCGTCGAGTGATTAGATTCGATAGACAAACTCAGACAGATACTTAATAAGTCCAAATATCTCTTGATTACACTTAAAAGTAGTTGAACGCGTAAATCTTGCAACTTCAAGCAGGAGAGAGCAAACTATCCTATGTATTTCCACTTTTATGCAGCCACCTTGTCCCATTTCGGTATTTCAGGGACGGCTTTTGTGTCCTTGTTATGGCTGTCTGCACTGATTTCAGAGATTGAATTTCAGAGAATTGCATGTTGATCAAAATGGAATTCGTTTCTCTAACTGGAGTTAAATCAACTTTGAGCTTATCCAACCGATATCTCAGCTCAGCCTCCTTCACTTGCCTCTTCTCCGCATCCTCAACCGCAGCACCAACAATTTCAAGATTGCTTATGAACTTAGCGACGCCTTTCTCACCGTTCAAAACAAGTTTCACCTCTTCTTCTACGTGGTGATAAGTTACTAACGCCAATCGTTCTAGGAGCACGGAAATGAGTGCCTCGGCCATTTTTCGTGTTAGAAATTTGGTTGAAGATGGAAAAAGAAAGGTGATTTCTGAACTCAGAAATGCAGCTGCTGGTTGTGCTGCAATTAGCTTTCCTCTACCCGTTTATTTGATTAACAACTCTCCTGTTGGCTGGCTATGTATACACATTTCTTACGCGTTTTCATGTCTCAAAGGGTATAGTTTAAATCATGATTTATGACTAAGAAAACTAGACCCTTCACGGGTGATGTACAAATTAAGGAATACAAGCTTGTTCTAACGTATTAACGTACCGACCTCTCTTACTTGACCTTGCCTTCATTCTCTTCATGTTCTGTCCCTAGTCCCGACACTGCAAAAGAGTCACGGATAAATGTTTAGGGTCAACATGACTCATCACCAACAATATCGATATTATTCATAATTTAATCACTTATTACCATGTGTGAAATTTAATCATAAAAGGTTTCGATGATATTAATATCCCTGTAATTATAAATTGTATATTATTTTAGCCACTTAGTACTCTAGTCCAGTGATGTTCCTTTTCACTTTTAAGTGAGAGGTCTTAGGTTGTAACGATCCATCCCCAAATATTATGGTTTTATAATTTAAAAATGTGAAATTACAAAAATGCCATTCGAGGTAAAAACGTTGACTTTTGTTGACCGCATTGTCGTGTCACGTAAGATCCGTTTTCTTGGCGTATCCTTGTAGTACTCGTTGCTATGAACGCGAGGGCGCAAGCGGAATCGAATTTGAAGTTATAACGAAAGAGTTATTAAGGAATGAAGTTGAGGGCAAAATGGTCATTTGACCATAAATCTGGAAGGCTCCAGATTTTGTTGGAGCATCAATCTGTTGCCACATGTGCGACTGTGATAGAAAGAAGAGGAGAGAAAGGAGGGGGAGTTGCCCAATCGGGGAAGAAAGAAGGAGAGTGAACCAATGAGAGAGGAGAGAAAGAAGGGAATGAAGGGAAGGGAGGAACCAGCCAACTCGAACCTCCATTCGACCCGCGACCTGACCCTGACTCCCCCATCGTGACCTGGTTCTGACCCGGACTACCCTGCGTGATTTTTCGACGCCATCTTTGGCAGTTTTTTCTGATGATTCGCAGCCACCTACCACCTAAAAACTTCACATCGGCCTTCCCTTTCCATTTCCACCCAAGATTGATGAGGTTTTGGTTCCATATTAAGGAGAACCAAGGGTGGGGTTTGAGAGCACCACGAACGGCAATTCGCTGATCCTGCAGCCTTCATCGACGACGACCACCATCAATCCACTCCTTTTAAACCTAAGAACAAGTCCCAAGCTTTGGTTGGTGCGTCGGAACATCGGGGAAGATAAATCAACAACCACCCATTTCTAGGTTCCGACGGATCGAGGGTGTTTTCACACGTTTCCTAACTGAATTGGACTTTGGCCCAGGTATGAAAGTTATTCCCCTTGATGAGCTCTACATTCCTGCAAAATTTGGTAATTTTTGGAGTTGGCTGGAAAATCAGATTTCCTTCACCGGAAATCGCCACTTGTGGTGGCGTGTGGGGGGAAACCGAGGTCCCTCTATAGGTTTTTCGACGTGAAGAATCTGAATCCACTGTCATTTTTTTCCAAACAATTCCCAAACGTCCAACCCTACATGCAATTTAATAAAATAAAAAAGAGAAACTGGTAAAGATTCTTGAACCAAGAACATAAAAACGAAAAACCACACAAATTTATGCTAACATAACAGAGATGGAAGTATGTGTCCCTTCTGCAAAAGAAACTTGTCGATTTTATGGCCATGCATGGTTTCTGAGTTCAGATTTGAAAGAAAAGTTGAAATATGAAAACCCCAAATTCTAATCTCAATTTGACCTAAAAATCAAAGCCCTAATTTGTTCAGGTGCAGAGGTCTATGATTCAAAATTTCTCAAACCCAAAACAACAAAATCAAATAAAGCTCAGTAATATCACGATCTGCAAAACAAATGACGAAATAAATCGAAGATTTGAAGTTTACCAGACAACTCGGAGCAGATGAGGGAAGACGTAGAGATGAGGGTGAGGAAGACGCAGAGATGAGGGTGAGGAAGACGACGATGAGGGAGGGCAAGGACGACGATGAGGGAAGACGCAGAGATGAGGACGAGCAGGAAGTCACTCTCTCGCGATTTTTTCTGGGCTTACGAGTCCGCTCGAAATTGGGGATCCTCGTTAAGACCTCGTAAGGAGGTGTATAATCCGAGAGAGTCCCACCTAAGGTTATTAAACCTAATCCTGCAGCAGACCAAACAAGGGACTATAGTCCAGTCCTCCTTAATCCTATCAAACAAACGGACCCTTAGTTTAGTATTATTCTCATTCATTTTTATCTCTTATTCATTTTCTTAGTTTTCGATGATGATTGAATAAATAAATCTGTAAATAGTAATTTCCTTCAATTTATTGATGTAAAAATGTATTTTAATTTAAAAAAATAAAAACAAAATAAGCGAATGGGTTCGAGTGAAGTAACTGTAGCTTGAACTGGACTAGTCTGAAAACCAGCCGACAAGAAAATTTGGCGGGAGGGGCAGGCAGTGAGAGGGGGGGAGAGAGAGAGGAACAGTCAAAGTTTGGGGAGTCCTCGTGATTCGTGCAAATCCTAGAACCCTCCTTTAAGCCCACAGAATACACCACTGAACACACCAACACTCACTCACTCACTCACTCACTCACTCACTCACTCGTATATATGCATTGCACACACTTTCGTCCGTCCAGTCTGAAGACTCTGGAGAGAGAATACTTTAGAGAGAGAGAGAGAGAGAGAGAGAGAGAGAGAGAGGGGCATCAAATCAAGGAAAACAAAAAGAAGCAATGCTGCGACTTGCTGTTGCTGGAGCAGGTCCAACCCAATATCCTTCTGATGGGTCTTGTTCCTCGTACCCAAGGCACGTCTCGTCGGAAATTTGTTTCCACTCCTCAACAAGGTAAACTGATTTTATGTTTCTGTTTTTCAGTTACATATGTTTTTTGATTTGTTTAACGTTGCCGCCGTTTTGGGTTTGCATTGAATCACCCAAGACCCAAATCCCTGTACTTTATTTCACACACCAGCCGTCCCAAATCATGATTTCGTTCCCCTTTTTTTATTTATTTTGAAATGAAAGATTGCATCTTTTGTCGTTTAGGAATTTTTATTTCAAGAAAGTTTCTCTCTTGTTCCGTATGCTGATTTGGGTGCTTATTAGGAGTCACTTTTATAAGGGATTTCGGACTCTCTTTTTCTCCCTTGCATTCCTTTTTTCTTTTTTTATATTTTTTATATTTTTTTTATAGCCGTTGGATTCAATAAATCAAATCAGAAACAAAGAGAGGGGTGAAGAAGGAGAAAACGGTAGTGCGAAAATTATTTTTGTAAATCCTACTGAATGCTGGAACAATGCTGCATTTTCTAAAATCTGAATTCTTCGCGACGTTCCAAGTGTTACGAATCTTTGTTTGTATGGGTCAGGGTCGGTACAATCTGGCGTTGTGATGGTTAATTTTCGTTTCATCTCATTTGATATACGAGCGGGATCGTCTAGTGTTTGGCAGGCAGATAAATTGTATACACTTTACAAGGCACAAAAACAAGTATTGTGTAAAGCGAATGAGCAAAATGCCAAATGTGATAGCAGCTCCTTTGTTTTTCGATTCAAAACTTTGCCTCTAGTTAGTGTCCGAGTGATTTCCAAACACGGTGAGGAGCAGTGGAAATTAGTATCTGCACCGAGGGCATCTGACGATACAAATAGTTCTGTAACATTGAGAGCGAAGAGAAAACCACTGTTAAGACTAGAATTAGTTGTCCTGGTGATAATAGCAATGGGGACTAAATGTGTCCTTGCTCAGGCATGTCAAGAAGTGCTGTTGTTTTGCTCTTTCCCGTAGGCAGGCTTACAGTCTTGAATTTTTATGATGGACTGTGGTTTGGTAGATAAAGAGTTGCAAGAAGTGCTGTTGTTTTGTCTCTTTCCCGTAGGTCGTTCGTGGTACTGGAAAATGGCATAGGATCATAAATTTAATCTTGGATTAGAAGGTCTGTGAGGTTTCAAGCGAAACAGAAGGTTGACGCTGGAAATAAAGGATCGTCTCTGTGGTGAGGTCCTTGTTTAATCTTGACTAAGTTTTGTCAGGCTTCAGCAATTGCTTCTCTGTTGGGACTACTATTTAACTATTCCGGATGTCCCAACACCAGAAGCAATTTTGCTTTATTTATGTTTTTGAAGATATCGATAGGCCGACAGAGATGAAGGAAAGGAAGAAGAGGTTAAGTCTACAAGGGCTATACTTAAATTTCGTAAAGTCACAGTGGGAATTTCAAGTTATGGTTCTTCTTATGCCAGTCTCACTTCCTCTATTCTTGTTGTGTGATTATATGGTTTGTAAGGGAGTGCGAGATGTTAGGCTTTAAGTCATGACTATTGAAACTTATGAAGAATTAAATTCAGTGTTCCGCCAAGGTTACTTGTGAATACTGAATTGTGAGTAAGAAACTATAAATCTCAGAGTAATTTCATGAAACAAACATGCGGTGGTTATGTTTTAGAGTTTCTAATTATCTGCAAGGGATCATCGTTCCCCTCTTTAAGTCTGGACGAAAAGTTAGGTTTGAAGCATGTGCATTTTGGACCACTGAAGGTGCTGCAGATTGTGCTTTTGTTAAATTTGATAATACATTTTTGTTGATGGTAATCAAAATTTTTCTCTTATTCATTTCTTTTGTCTTCAATGGCAGAGGGAGGAGCAGTGATGCTTGCTTGATGGACTTTGCACCGTTCAAGTTTCATGCAAGAGTGAACTCACCGTTCTGCATATTGCTGCTGGAGTACATTAACTGATAAGCAGTGTGTGGAGTAGGGAATGAAGCTATTGGTCCGTTGAGCATTTCAAAAATGTTACAACTTGATGATATCTCTTGTGCAAGAATTCACAGATCTTGACATATAGGCTGATTCTGTAACTGTATCTGCTAAGCTTAATCTAATTCATTGCGAAGAAATCTTTAATTTAATTTTCCCATTCAGCGTTGTCTTTTGCTTTAAGTTGGAATATACCATCCTGTTCTTTTCAGTGCCCGCCAAGAAAGTTTAGTTTCGATTTCTTTTTGCGGTGAGATGTCTTGTAAATCATGAAATAGGATTTTATTTTATTTTTTTTTCGAAAATAAAAAACCCGGGAGATCCTAATTTGGAAGATGAAGACTGGAAACGCTCTAGCAGTCTAACAGATTTAAGTTGAAACAGAAAGGAAGGAGCAGGAGAAAGCAGAAAAATTACAGACTGGTAACTGGCATTTAAGTTCACGCTTATGTGAGTCTGGTCGTGGAACAGTTAATCTTCTGAATGCAGAAGCAAAAGCATATTTATATGGTCAAAGGCTGACATGTTTTAGTTTTCGTTACATAAATGAGCTTACAGAAAGAGTGTAGGATTGGAAAAGAACTGTAGAAGTTGAAGTTTGGAGCCTTTTTATGCAGAAGCAGAAGCCCCTTTGGAAGTTTAGTCGTTGACTGTGCAGGTCAAAGCCTCAATTGTTAAAAGCTGGAACTATTAGCATAATTTTCTTTGCAGGTCTGCTGCTGGTGTATGTGGTCCTCCCTGCTGCTTGCACTGGAAGCTCGTGAGTTTATTTAGACCTGGTTTGGTCTTTAGGTATCAAACTCCCCACAAATAGGTACTCGCACTTGCAGATCTGTGTGAGTCGAAACTAAGGTCCTCCAACGACATGAAGACAATCTAACTACATTGTTTGTGGATCATAAATGTCATTGACGATGTGTTTACATAAGGAGAATGAGAATGCGGAGATGGGAGAATTTGGTCAATTGTAAACAGTTATAATGTGAATCAACTTTATTTTCATTCCGATTCCTGATAGTTAATAAACAACTTTATTTTCAATGACTTGTTATTGTCGTTGAAGGAGGAGAGTTTGGTGGTAAAAAGGCTACGACTCACTGCAGAAAGGGTGGGTTTTAAGGCAGGGGCTGTTTTTTGGAGTTTGGAAATTAATATGCCTACCGCAGAAATTAAACTCGCTTGTGCCAGATTACGTTGTGCCACCACAACGGATAGGGCCAGCTACAACGATCTAGGTATTGAACTCACCTACAGTATGCTTATATCTTACTTACATTCTTGTTTGTTGAACATTAGACATCCTCCAAACCATCGGAGACAAACTTACTACGTCATTTGTGGATAATATATGTCAAAAGAATCCATGGGATGTGCGATCACATTTGGTATCTGGTTTCCTTAGAAGCCTTAGATCCTTGAATGCTTGCATTCACGAGGGAGACCTTTGGTGAACTTAATACGGTCAGTGCAGTAGTCATAGACCATGAACTTGCGCTGCACCCATCGAAGCCTATTTCGTTCTGCAGCATTGAGCCCTTGTTTTGCCCATGAAGCGCCATCCGCTGACCTATTGGTAGATGTGGAGGCACAAGATGGTCCTTGTGACCCAAGGCAAGCGTTGATGTTGAAGTTTCTGTAAGAGGCAGTGAAAGGAGCTAGGTTCCAGTCAGTCTTCACACGCCCACCTTGTGTTGCCCAGTCATCGGCATTCCAAAAAGTTGCATAAATCCTCATGGGTTGGTTTTTAGGGAATGGAAGACCAATTGATTCCAAGTTATTGAACACTCTAATTGGACTATTATCCACCAAGAATCTGCGTAATAGTATGTGTTCCAAGGTGAGTACGATGAAAATATTGGTAAATACTGCCTACTTCCTTGTACCAACGAATTGTACTTTGTAATCTCAAGTGTAAGAAATAATTGTAGATCGGTATTTGGTACCACCAATTAAAATTTACAATGTTGTCAAGTTTATGGTACATGTCGGTGAGTGCTACGTACATAATGTGCTTGGTGTTCCAAACAACGGAGTAATGTGTGGAAGTCCTGAGTGGGATCGAACCATACGCGGAATTGTTGTTCCTTGAGCCCTTGTCCTTGGGAGTAGACATTAGTATGGATAGTGTAGGGTTCCCCAGTTGAGTTGCCCAGAAACTCGAAGTCAATCTCATCATGATTTGAACCTGAAGAAGATAACTGCCTATGCATGCATGCATGCATGCATATGTTTCAACAATTAGCAATGGGTATGCAATATTTATGGAAATAATACCGATGAAATTAATTAAGGCTAGAGATTGAGAGTTGTTACATAAAATGTGGTGACAGTACCAGCTGAGTTTCCAGGTTGCAACTTGATTTGCATATCAAACCTTCCAAATAAGTACTCATTCTTGGATTTGAAACCTGCTCCAGAAGATTTGTCAAGGGAGAGGGTGACAAGTTGTCCATTTTCGAGTACCTTGGCATGTTGATCGCCGAACATAACCTCAAAGTCTTGATAGAAATTATCGGCTGAGGCAACCACGGCCCCCACAGAAATTGTGATCAAAGAAAGAAAAAACGTCATTGAGACCTTAGAAGAACACATTGTTTATTTGAAGAATTTTTATGGGATTTAAAAATCAAATTGAAATTTGTTAGGAGGATAATTTCGAAAACAAGACCCTGAAAACTTCTCAGAAACAGAAAATGAGGAAATATTGTTTACAAAAGTACCTGAAATTTTTCTAGATTTTAACTTTAAAATGTCAAACTAAGAATACAATCTAAATTAATCTTCAGATTGTATCTCAATTTGTGAAAATTGTTTCCGAATCACAGAATGTTGTTTATACGTTGTGGGCAGAGTGGCATGCTGCGTTCGAATAGGTCATGCTGTATTTAGAATATTGAGACTGAATTGTCCAATGTGGTTTCCCTTTGCAAATTAGAATTGTGGCCATGCGACAAACTAGCAACATATTTTTTGGATGATGCCGTTGTAATCAGTCTACGTAACTTCATCATAAATGTTGTTCTTATGACTATATTTAGGACACTAATTAGTAACAGTTATGATCTTCATTACGAGATAATGCAAACACCGTTGACGGATTAATTAAAGAGGTCGAATGAGAGTCAACTAAGACTCGTAAAAAAATGAAATGACACAACATGACTCAATTGCAACTGATCGTAAACCTGGCCATATATGGTAGATATACATGGTCGCGTTTCAAGGAGGGTGATGTGACAAGAAAAAAAAACAGTAATCCTACATATCTTAAATAAAACACTGCAATAAGAAATTTAAATTCTACTAAGATGATTTAATAATGAAGTGCTTTATTCTGGAATCTCAATTCAGCTTACGATGAAAGAATACAACCATGGGACAATAATGTCACATTACAAAATCTTTATTTGTAGAAGAATAATGCTATTCATACTATGTTTTTATACAATATTTTTATACCATTTTAGATGGTATTTGATGTGGACATCCACATCATTTGAATTAATCAGATTTATAAATTTAGTTCATTATTTAATAAACTAATAATTAAGAAAAACTAGTTAATTAAATGATGATTGTACTATACGAGGAGTCTTTATTCTTATTTTCCATGAGTTTTGCAAATTTTTCAAATGATGTGGCTGTCCACTTCAGATGCCACCTAAGGTGGTATAGAAATGTGGTATAAAAATATGGTATGGATAACATTATTCTTTGTAGAACGAAAAAGAGTGCTTCATTAAATGAAGCTAATTACACAAAAGAATGAATGCTGCGTACATGCGAAAGAGGGAATATGTGATGACACTATATCTGGATCTTTAGAACCTTGATCTTCTGCATTCTGCTGGGAGGCCTTGTGGGAAACGTTTAAGGTCATTGCAGTAGTTGTAGATCATGAACTTTTGGTGCACCCATCGAAGCCGGTTTCGGCCTGCTGCATCAAGACCTTGAGTCTGCCATGCACTGTCTCCTACTGAATTGGTAGATGCAGTGGAGGCACATGAGGATGATGAGTCAGCAGTACAAGCATTGGCCTTGAAATTTCTGTAAGAGGCAGTGAAGGGAGCATTGGTCCAGTCTGTCTTCACAAGGCCACCTCTTGTTGCCCAGTCATCTGCATTCCACAGGCTTGAGTAAATCCGCATGGGCTGGTTTTTAGGGAATGGAACTCCAACTGATTCCAGGTTGTTGAACACTCTGATTGGAATGTTGTCCACCAAGAATCTGCACAACATTGATTTGTATATGTATTTAGTTAGTTTTTATTCGGTAACTAGTTAGAACATTGCTTGGCACATGTTACTTATTCATTTCTCATATTTTGATTTGTCTGCAGGAGGAATGACTTCGCACTTGTACGAGCCAAGCATTTTCCTGTTAATTATAGATGAGAAACTTTAAATGAAAATAAATGAATTAACTGTAGGTGTGAAAGTTGCAAACTTACATAATGCGTTGGGTGTTCCATACAATGGAGTAAGTGTGGAAGGCATTTGTGGGATCAAACCAAAGTTGGAACTGCTGCTCTCTGTTCCCTTTTCCTTGGCTGAACACATTGGTATGGAGAGTGTAGGGATCTCCAGATACATTCCCCAAAAACTCAAAGTCGATTTCATCATGAGTTGGACCTTCAGAAGATAACTGCAAATTTGCATTTGGTTTCATAAATTAGCAAAGAAATTATACAAAATATATCTATAGAATTACAAAGGCTACAAATGAGGAGGGTATGTAGTAGTAGTACTACTTACATAGTAGGCAGTGACGGTTCCAGCCGAGTTCCCAGTGACCAACTTGATCTGCATATCAATCCTTCCAAATAAGTACTCATTTTTGGACTTGAAACCAGACCCAGATGCCTGGTCAAGGTTGAGCGTGAGAAGCTGTCCTCCGTTGAGCATCTTGGCACGTCCATCCCCAAATGTAACGTCAAAGTCTTGGTAGAAATTACCAGCTAAGGCAGCCATGACCATCAGAGAAGTTGTGAACAAAGAAAGAAAAAGCACCATATTCACTGGGAGCTTGCAAGAACACATTCTGATGAATGTAGCGTGGATACTGTAGACAGACAGGTAGCAAGAGAATAATGAGCTTCAAGGAGAAATGAGGGTGTGTGTTTGATGCTATAATTCGAGTTCTGAAGTCCTTTTATATAACCAGATACCGCGTCGAATAGAGAGCTGGCGTAATAAAAAAAGTAAAGTTCAAAACTGGCAGTAGGGTTTTCAAATAATTACTTGTATGCTTCTAGCTTTATTTCAGACTTTGAGTGAGGCGGGCCGCGGCGCCACAGGAATTGACTACTTGCATTGCCAAACTCAATAATATACACATATATATATATATGTATGTATGCATATGTGTGTGTGTGTGTGTGTTTGTATATGTATATATGTTGCTGGCTGGAGACAGGTACGTAGTTTCAGACGACAGAGGGTTAAAAGAGAGTCAGGAAGCAGCATGGGAAGCTAGACGTTTGTTATGTGAAAGGGAGAGTCGAGGTTGTGAAGCATTTTTAATTGGTTATTGCGGTGCTACACCACATGTGGACAAAGAGAAAAAGGTATAGGCCGCGTTTGGTTGGTAACGAACTTGTCTCTTTATTATTAATTTGATCTATCAACAGCTATGGATACACAGGGTGCACCTAACATTATTGTATCCTTATTGAGTTCAGGTCAATTAATTAACAGTGTATAGAAACAAATGTAATTCTTTGCAGTTCCCTGCGTGCATCAAACAACATGGAACATAGACATAAAAGCCAATTGAATTGAACAAATTGAATGGACAAAAATGAGGGGAGTGATGTAATTTGGTAATTTGATCTACTAAAATTTGATAGAAAAATAAACAGCCTCAAAGCTTTATTTTGTGTTTCTGAATATTGCTCAAACTGTTGCAGAGCATTACAAGATGTTCTCTTATCAAGATTGAACCACAATTGGTTACTGAAAAAAATTGTGAAACAACATAAAAATTTACATAATAAAGGTAAAATAATAACATATTAATTACAGTTTAAATATATTAATAATAAAATGTTATTACCATATTGGTTGGATTATTACCACTTTGATAAATTCTTTCCACTTTTGCGATGACTTCTCGCCAAGCTTTCAAATCTTTATGTCGATGTTTGTATCTACTCGGTAGAGATTGCTCGGTCTGGATGTGCCTTAAAATTGCTCTACAAATTGCGCATGAATTTTCTTTCATATATTTTTGTGTCACATTGTGCCACGTATTCCAATGGTAACCTTTTTAATTTCTTTTATTTTCGTTGGAAATCCAACGATCTAGATCATCTGACCATTAGAAATCCAACGACTCACAGCAAGTCATCATTTAGCCATTGGGCTCTGCTGCAGAGAGCCCAACCTTGCAGTTTGTCGCCACTCGCGGGTTTCGCGTACCACGCGCTTGACATAAAAAAAAAAGAAAAAAAACAAAGAAGAGGTGGTTAGCATCAGCTTGACCACTGACACAAGGCCGAGGTTCAGATGCTCAAGCATTTGGGCGGCTTTGCTTGGCCCACCATACCGGACCTTGCATCTTTGAACAGGTGGAGGAGTGTTTTGGGGTTGGAGCCTGGAGGGCAAGTTTTGGGCCCCTCCCCTTCCCTTTTACCAAAACATGCTCGAATATCATTTCAAATTAATCACGTATTATTATATATTGAATTTTATCATAAAAACTTAAGTGATATTAGGAATAAGAACTTCTACATATTAATCGTATATTAGTTTATCATGTTTCGTAGCTCCTACTTTTATTGCGCTGAATTTGCAAACCCGTGTCCAGCTTTAACACAAGTTGTGGGCTTTTGCATCAAGTCAATATTCAGAGAACAAAATCATATCATATAACCATACCTAATAATTTGTAACCAAATATATGCTGCCAGTTTTGAAACTTTAATTTATTAAATAATGACAGTCCTATTATTCACGCGGCATACTTTATACTACTTGCTCGAAGGTTTCCAGCATATAAAGGGCTCTCACAACTCCAATTTATACCATCAAACCACAAACTGCTTCATTTCTCTCTAAGAGCAAGTCCAGCCCGTGGTAAATGGCCCGGCACCAAGTGAAGAAAATGGCCCGGCACTGTGTCCATCAGCTCCAGCCCGGAAAATAGGCTGGCACCCAGCCCATGCCAGTCAAGAGGCCAACCCAAAATGGACAGACCCAGAGGCCGGTCCGTGTGCTGGCGCGTGCAACACACGCGGTGGAACCAGCGAGTAGCCGACATCGTCTGCAGCAGTGGGGCCCACGGTGCAGGGCAAGTGGACTGACTCTATCAAAGGGCTACGTGGCCCTCCTCAGAGCCATTGGATTTCCAACGGTAAAAAAAATTTAAATTTCACTTTTAAATTGGACCGTACGATCATAGATCAACGGTCCACGTTTTTTCACCAAAAATTAAAAAAAAAAAAAGGCCCAACGGTCAGAAATTTGACCGTTGGCCACGTGGCGGCGTGTTGGCTATTGGATTTGATTATTTTTCAAATCCAACGGTCCAGATTAATTACAACATTAAAATTTATTAAAAATTAATTAAAAAATGTCAAAATTTTTTTAAAAAATACAGAAAAATTTTAAAAAATTAATTTTTTTTCTATAGTACGATCGGATAATGACACGTGGCGTGACGAAATTGGTTAAAAATCCTATCCGAAATTAAAACTATTTTTTTTTATTATTTTATAAAAAAAATTATTTAATATTTTAAATGGACTGGGTGCCAGCGCATTTTGTAGGGGTGGAGATCGTTTGTGCCAGCGCATTTTTAGACTAGGTGCCAGCACATTTTTTTTGGGGTGGAGATGCTTTGGCCTATTACTGTTCATTGGGTCTATTACTGTTCAATTAAGTGGATAAATGGGCTGGATGCTGGCGCAAAGTGGATAGGGGTGGAGTTGCTCTAAAGCAATCAAAATGTCTTATTCTTCTAAGCTTTCGATGGTGTTTCTTCTTTCTTTGTCCATAACTTGTGTCAAGGCCATGGCTGCCTCGGCTGGCAATTTCTATCAAGACTTTGATTTTACATTTGGCGACGGACGTGCCAAGATACTCAACGGAGGACAGCTTCTCACACTTAACCTTGATCAGGCTTCCGGTTCCGGTTTCAAATCCAAGAACGAGTACTTATTTGGAAGAATTGATATGCAGATCAAGCTTGTTGCCGGTAACTCAGCGGGAACTGTTACTGCCTACTATGTAAGTAGTACTACTACATACCCTCTTAGTTTGTATCCTTGTAACTCTATAAATATGTTTTGTATAATTGCTTTTCTAATTGTGAAACACAATGCATATATGTATTTGCAGTTATCCTCCGAAGGTCTAACTCATGATGAAATCGACTTTGAGTTTTTGGGAAACGTATCCAGAGATCCCTACACTCTCCATACCAATGTGTTCAGCCAAGGAAAAGGGAATAGAGAACAGCAGTTCCACCTGTGGTTTGATCCCACAAAGGCCTTCCACACCTACTCCATTGTTTGGAACACGCAACGCATTTTGTAAGTACTGCATGCATGCACTCACGTGAGGGAGCGTGTTGAGACTATCACTTGTTATTTTTAGATACTTTCTAATACATTTGCAAATCTTATGCAGATTTTTGGTGGATAACATTCCAATCAGAGTGTTCAACAACTTGGAATCAGTTGGAGTCCCATTCCCCAAAAACCAGCCCATGCGGATTTACTCAAGCTTGTGGAATGCAGATGACTGGGCAACAAGAGGTGGCCTTGTCAAGACTGATTGGACTAAAGCTCCCTTCACTGCCTCTTACAGAAACTTCAAGGCCAATGCTTGTACTGCTGGCTCATCATCCTCATGTGCCTCCACTGCATCTACCAATTCAGTGGGGGACAGTGCATGGCAGACTCAAGGGCTCGATGCCGCCGGCCGTAACCGGCTTCGATGGGTGCAACAAAAGTTCATGGTCTACAACTACTGCAATGACCTTAAACGTTTCCCACAAGGCCTCCCAGCGGAGTGCAGAAGATCAAGGTTCTAGAGATCCAGATATCTTACGATACATACATCATCACATTTTCACCGCTCTATGCAGCATTCATTTGTGTAATTAGATTCAATTTATATGATACATTCTTTCTTCGTTTTTCTAATAACGAATGTTTAATGTGACATTATTGTCGCATGTTTTCCTTTACTCTTACAATGTAAGCTGAGTTGAGATTCTGCAATATATATATACATACATATATATATATATATATATATATATATATATATATATATATATATATAGTAGTTCATATTAGTCGATAAAAATTCATAATATTTGATTTTTCTCCTAACAATATCAAGAAAGTGTTCATTAACTGATTTACATAATTACCAACGGTAGTTTTTTTTTGTTAATTACACAACATAATCTGCCCTTCTCCATTACCGCGTAGTCTTGTATGCTGAAAAATGAACAAATCGATCAATCCAAAATTGTCAATCCGGTTTTGCAGTTGTTTTATCTGTTTTGTTTGTGGTTTTGCAGCTTAATTGACACTAAAATTGCCCGAACCGGCAACACTATAGTTTCCATCTCAAGAAAATTGTTGGGGCTTGAATAAAATGTGATTTAATATCTTTTTCTTTCTGGCGTACTCAATCCTGGTTGTTTAGGTTTTACGTTCGTGGAAGAAAAATATGTTATTTTCATTATGTCTCGTCGCTTTATTGTTTTAGGTATTTTGGTATTTTCTCATAATGTTTCGTTGCTGATATATATAATCAACATTGTGGTAATTTAGCCTCACAATGAGTTAGTAATAATGTTGTTCATATTTACTTTTGACGAGAATTGAACCTAAGACCTTTTATTTAGAAGTGTAGAAGAATACCACTAAACTGTAGGATAAAAATAAAAAGTTAACCATAAAAGATTAAACTAACTAAAATCCACCCATGGGGCAAATGTGTAATTAACAAAAAAAATTAAAAAGAAAAGGAAATAAGTAGAAGAAGAGAAGTGGCTAGCATTGGCACCACAGCTTTTTGGGCTTTGTCGCAAACCAAGTCTCACTAAGATCCATTAAGAATGGCACCCATCGCCTTATCCTGAAAATTAACAGGTAGAAATGCAGTCGACCTCATCAGCTCTACTGCGCAAATGCTCTTACCCTCTTCCCCTTAACCACTTCCTCTTCCACTTCCATCATCGACACCCTTGCAAAACCCTCAACTTCCTTCCTCTCCCCCTAAAACCCCAAACCCACTCCGCAAACCACTGCGCGCTTTCCATCTCTCATACCAACAGTTGCAGCAGAGAGCACCAGGAGCAGAGCCAGAAGCACACCAATGGCGATTCCGACCGTTATCAGAACGAGTTGTTGTTTCTGCAGTTGAACTCCTCCGGCGATACCGAGGCCGGCAGTAATCAAAGCCCAGAAGCCCCAAACGACGAACGAGGACGAGACCAAAGAGAGAGCGAAGCCGATAATTCCGAGGGACTTTTGACAAACATGTGGTGGGCAGACGTGAAAGCCGCACTGGGACAAAGGTTCAACTTTGGAGCCATAGTTCGTTCTGTCATGGTGCTCACAAAAGACAAGCACTTGGCTTTGCCGCATGTTTCTGTGCCTGATGTTAGGTACATTGATTGGCCTGAGTTGCATAGAAGGGGTTTCAAGGGTGTTGTGTTCGACAAGGATAATACTATCACTGCACCTTATTCCTTGACGCTTTGGGGCCCTCTTGGGTCTTCGTTGGAGCAGTGTAAATCCGTTTTCGGGCCCGATATCGCGGTGTTCAGTAACTCGGCTGGTAATTTTTGGCAGAACCCATCTGAAAATTTTAGTTGTTTTTGTTGTTGGTTACGTTTGTTTGTCAACGTAATGATTTTGGTTTCATGGTTAGGGCTTTATGAGTATGACCATGATGGTTCAAAAGCTAGGGAGCTTGAAGGGGCAGTTGGAATTAAAGTCATAAGACATAGTAAGTGTTTGTTTGTCCTTTTTTCTGTTGCAAAGTTTTTGAATCTCATTTTTTATAAACCAAATTCCATTTGAAAAGAGTAGGTTGGTTAAATACAAGTTTTCCATAGGACTTACAGATTTTATGCAGTATTGATGTGGTTATTTTTGTCTTATGTTATAGGAGTGAAGAAACCAGCTGGAACATCTGAAGAGATCGAGAAGCATTTTGGTTGTAAATCTTCACACCTAATTATGGTAGAGAAGATTCATAGACCTCTTGAATTGTTTTATTTGATCTTTGTCCGAATTATAATATAGGGGTGTGCTATCCACACACCCCATTTTACTTCTCACTCACCCCTTGATAATTTTTGTACGTTGATCTTCTTTAATTCATCCGATCCGATGGCCGAAAATTAAAAAGGTGTGTGAGAAGTAAAATGGGGTGTGTGGATATCACAGCCCATAATATATTGACTCATGGGGTATTTTTGTTTGTTGTAGGTGGGAGATCGGCCTTTCACTGATATTGTCTATGGAAATCAAAATGGCTTTCTCACTATTTTAACTGAACCGTTGAGTCTCAATGAGGAGCCGTTCATTGTTAGGCAGGTTGGTTTTTGTTTCTTCTCAAATCCTTTTCATACACTGAAGGTGAATGTCATGTCATTTTCTCTTTTCCAAACAAAAAATGTTATAAAATCTGATTAGGCTGTTGTTGAAAGCAAATGGTTGTCTCTTTCTCACTTGGGTAAACAAAAAAATCAATCTGCTAAATCTTAATTTGTGAAATACCTTAGTTTGTGGTGTCAGTCCTTGTTCTCCATTTTGTCCATGATTTTTTTCCTTGTGGTTTTTAGGATAGTTTAGAATCCTCTTATGAGCTGACTTATAGGGTATGGATGGTGAAAAATCCCAGGTTGTAGCAAACCAAATATAAAGAAGATAAGGAGGGAAATCAAACTAAAAATCACTATCTTCCAAAGAAAGAATAAAAGGACCATCCAATAGTATAGAGTTCGAACGATTCTTCGGACTCATACAAGAATATCTTGCGATCTCACCCCTTCAAAAGTTTGACTTGTAGGTTCTTTTTAAGTTCACTCAAACAAGAACAAATGAGCAGCTCCCATATTTCCAAATGTCACGAGTCATTTTTTCCCAGTTTGTGCCAATTTGAGAGTGACTTGAAAACAGACCGTGCAAAAACAAAGCTACTTCAAATCTCATAGTGGCTGTGCGGGTGAAGAAAAATAATATTAAGGGAATCAAGGACTCTGAATCTTGTTCTAAAGAAATAAAAATGGCGCAAAGGCCTTCTATGCTACCTAGAAGGGTTTCATCTAACATCGTTGTTGCCTGAGATACATATTCTGACCAATTTTTATGCCCTCTGATCCTCTCCCTTTTGAACTTATAATCACACACACACTTCCAAAACATTTTATGAAGTTTCAAACTCCCAATCATGACATGGAAACCCCTCTGGAATATGGTATAACAATGGTCACCATCTTGGTAAAAAGACTAGGCTGTGTAGTGTTTTTAGATTCAGCGTTGGTACCGGAGGCCAGTGTTTTTAGATGCAGCAACAACCACCACTTATCCCACTAAGTGGGGTAGGCTGTAGAACGCCACTATGCTATGTTTTGCGCCAAGTCTTCCGCTAGCTCCAAGTACTCCATGTCTTTTCTTAAAGTCTCTTTCCAAGTCCTCATAGGTTTTTCTCTACCCCTTTGGCCGCGAGCCTTTATGCAAAAGAAATGAAAATTCTTTTTCTTCATAATTTAGACTTATTGTGTTAGATACTTTGACTGTATCTACACTGCAATTTATGTTTTTCTATTATCGGAATTAAAGGTCTAAGTTTCTGTCATTTGTCTCTGAACATTTGCTTGTAACAATTGCAGGTGAGGAAACTAGAAACATCCCTTGTGATTCATTGGTTTAAGAAAGGGTTAAAGCCCACCAGTCATAGGCTGTTGCCTGATGGCAAGCAGTGTGTCAAACATCCACCACCCCTGTAAGAATTTTTATTGATATAATTCAAAAACAAAGTTCTTCTGTCAGTCCTAGTGATTTTGTTAGTTTCACCATTTGTTGATTTAAAGCAATGAGAAAATATTTAGTTTCTTTCTCCAGTAAATTGAGTAATATTTTACCCCGGCTTCATGAAAGGAAAAATAAAGAATAAAAGAGAAATGAAAGTGAAAATAAAAAAGGCCAAAAAATTCAGGCAGTCCAATTCAACCTTAACTAAGATCACTTTCTGTTGAAAAAACCCGCACACTGGACCTTGTTCTTTGATGTAACCAACGGCTATAGACTAAACTAGCAAATATAGAAAACTTAGAAACACACAAGAATTATACTGGTTCGGCAGAACTTATGCCTACGTCCAGTTGTGATTTCCCTAGGTAGAGAAATCACCACTTCTTTGATTAATAATAGAGATTACAGAACTTATGCAAACCCTAGAACTAATCTCAAACCTCTCTGCTGTTTGGCTGTTTTCTCTCTCTGCTGAAAATCAGCCTTGCCGCACCCTATTTATAGATATAGGGTTGGCTTACATGTCCTTTACAGATTATAATTCCTATTCTAAGTGGAATAGGAAAATAGACTTCCTTTCCAATTCCAAATAGACTTCTAGGATTTCTAATCTAAATTGAATAAGGAAACTAAGATTCTTTCCTAGCCCTTTTAGGAGAAGAATTGGTGCACCCTTTCCCTAAAACAATCCTAAACAGAAAAGGACACAAATTGACGAGCCAAAAACTAACAATCTCCACCTTGGTGAGTCAAACCAAGTCTTGATCGTTTGCACCCCAGAGTATCTTTGAACCTTCTTGAAGTAGCTCTGGAAAACTTCAAGAGTCTTCACCTTGGCAACCTCCTTCTTGCCTCATTGCACCTCAGGTGAGGAGGTGCTCCACTTTAATCAATCAACGAGATTGATCAAGTTCAAACAATGCTTGAACTTCTTGGCCGACACTATCTTTGTAAGGAAATCTGCGGCATTGTCATCTGTATGAACCTTTTCAATCCAAATTTCCTTAGACTCCACCCAATCTCTGATTCTGTGATACCTTGCTTCAATGTGCTTTGATCTTCCAGAAAAAACCTGATTCTTTGCCAAGTGAATGGCACTTTGACTATCACACTTAAGCTTCACACAATCTTGAGTGATTCCCATTTGACTAACCAAGCCACTAAGCCAAATTGCTTCCTTTCCAGCTTCGGCCAATGCAATATACTCTGCCTCTGTGGTCGATAAAGCTGTAATTGGTTGCAGTAGTGCCCTCCAACTGATTGGTCCTCCTGCGCATGTAAACACATAACCAGAAGTTGACCTTCTCTTGTCCAAGTCCCCTGCATAATCGGCATCCACATATCCTAGCACCCCTGCATTTTCCTTTTGCTTCTCAAACATAATCCTTTGTCGCCAAGAACCCTTCAAATAACGCAAAATCCACTTGACTACATCCCAATGTTGCTTTCCTGGATTTGCCATGTATCTGGAAACGACACTGATTGCTTGAGCTATGTCAGGACGTGTGCATACCATTGCATACATGAGGCAGCCCACGGCATTAGCATAAGGCACCTTCTTCATTTCTTGTTGCTCTTCCTCGGACGTAGGACACTGTTGTCCACTTAACCTGAAGTGTGCTGCCAAAGGAGTCGAAACTACCTTTGCTTCTTGCATGTTGAACTTCTCAAGAACCTTCTGAATATACTTGGCTTGTGATATCCAAATCCTTCCAGCGGTCCTATCTCTCTGAATTTCCATGCCAAGGATCTTCTGTGCGGCACCTAGATCCTTCATGTCAAACTCCTCGCTCAACATCCTTTTCAAGTCTTGAATTCTAGACTTGTCTTGACAAGCAATTAACATGTCATCCACATATAGCAATAGCAATATGATCATCCCATCTTGGAACACATGATAGTACACACAACAGTCATACAAACACCTTCTAAAATTAATTTTCAGCATGAATGAATCAAACCTCTTGTACCACTGTCTTGGAGACTGTTTCAGGCCATACAGGGACTTCCTTAGCTGACATACTAGGTTTTCTTTCCCATATTCAACAAACCCTTCTGGTTGAGCCATGAATATCGTCTCCTCTAAATCCCCATGAAGAAACGCTGTCTTCACATCCATCTGCTCAATCTCCATGTCATGCTGAGCTGCCATTGCTAAAAGCAATCGGATAGAAGTATGCTTGACTACAGGTGAAAAGATCTCATCATAATCCACCCCTTCCTTTTGTGAGTACCCCTTAGCCACGAGCCTTGCTTTGAATCTCACGGCATCTTGTTCATGTAGTCCTTCCTTTTTCCTAAATACCCACTTGCATCCAACTAGCTTTCTGTCTTTGGGTTTAGGAACCAACTCCCAAACAGAGTTCTTGTAAAGAGACTCCATTTCCTCTGTCATAGCACTTATCCAACTATCTCGCTCATCACTTGCTATAGCTTCTCGATAAGTAGTCGGATCTCCTTGACTAATGTTAAGAGCATAATTAACTTCGTTTTGGTCAAACCCAAACCTGTCAAGTTTCTTCTTGTTCCGCTTAGGTTTGTCCAGTGCTATGCATCTTTGGAATGCAGGTGGATTGTTGGGTGGAGTTTGACTCCTTTGGGATATCTGGCGGATTGGAGTACCTTCAATCTGTCCTATTTCTTGCTCCACCTGATTCCTAACTGGTGAATGATGCTGATGCTCTTCTTCTTCCTCAAAACCATCAGATTCGGCCTCTTGCTCAATTTGCTCCACCTGAGCTTCTTCCTCATCTGACCTGATTAACGGAATCTTTGTTGCTTCTATTTCAGCATCATCCTTCTTCTCCCTACTGCTCTCGACTTTATTCAGAGGCATGGTTGTCTCATCAAAGACAACATCTCGACTGACAACCTTTTTCCTGTTGTTGAAATCCCAAAGCTTGAAACCCTTCACTCCTTTCTCAAAACCTAGGAATATGCAATGTATAGACTTCGGTTTGAGCTTGGACCTTTCATCACTTGGAATATGTGCATAAGCACTACAGCCGAACACCCTGAGCTTGGAATAATCCACCGGCTTCTCAGACCATACCTCTTCTGCACTCTTAAAACCGAGAACTGTAGATGGTGATCTGTTAATCAAATAACTTGCATGATTAACAGCCTCTGCCCAAAAACTATCAGGCAATCCTGCATGAAATCGCATGCTCCTTTCTCTCTCCATGAGAGTTCGGTTCATCCTCTCAGCAGCTCCATTTTGTTGGGGATTCTTCTTTACTGTGAAGTGCCTTATGATGCCTTCCTGCTTGCAGTAATCGGTGAACTCCTTACTTGTATATTCACCTCCATTGTCACTTCTCAGATACTTGATCTTTCTTCCAGTTTGATTCTCGGTTTCTGTTTTCCATTTCTTGAACTTCGCAAAAACCTCGGATTTCTGCTTCATGAAATAAATCCAAATCTTCCTAGAAAAATCATCCATGAAAGTAACAAAATACCTGGCTCCACCATTTGATTTAGTTGGAGCAGGACCCCAAACATCTGAGTGAATATAGCTGAGTCGCTCCTTACTTCGGCTATCTGCACTGCTACTTGCGAATGATACCTTTCTTTGCTTCCCAAGAACACAGTATTCACAAAAGTCCAGTTTGCAAGCTGACACGCCTTCCAACAGGCCTTGCTTGTGTAATTCTTGCAATCCCTTCTGGCTTATGTGCCCGAGCCTATGATGCCATAGTTCAGTCTTGTCTTCTATACTTTGATTTACAGAAACAGCTGCTCCCCCGACTATAGTGGTCCCAATTAACTTATACAACTTATTGGGTTGTAGGTCACCCCGCATTACCACTAGCGAACCTTTGGTTACCCTGAGTCTTCCTTTTTAGATTTGTACCCATAACCGGCCTCATCTAAAGTACCCAAGGAAATCAAATTCTTTCTTAGTCTAGGGACATACCTGACGTTCCCCAAAGCTCGTATCATCCCATCGAACATTCTGATTCGAACAGTGCCGATTCCTCTTACAGGACATGAAGAATCATCCCCCATTAAGACTTCCCCGCTGCTGACTTCTTTGTAAGTATCGAACCATTCTTTTACTGCACACATATGAAACGTGCATCCAGTATCCAAAATCCAATTGGAAGCCTTGGAGCCCGATGTTACCGAAAGAAGTTTCCCGTCACTCTCATGTTCGGTGACTGCACTAGCGGAACCTGAGCTTCCTTCCATCTTGGCTTTCTTTTCTTTCCAAATCTTGCAGTTCCTCTTCCAATGATCGGCTGAACCACATTCGAAGCAACCTTCCTTCTTTTCCTTTTTCTTCTTGGATTTTGACCTACCTCTGTTGCCAGTTTTCTCTTCCCTTGTCTTTTCCCGCCCCCTCTCCTTGCCTTTGGCATAAAGGCCTTGAGAGCTTTCAGTTATATCATCTAGTTTAGCATATGACTGAAGAGCTTGAATTACGTCTTCAAGCTTCAAGGACTCTTTTCCAAACATTAGAGTTGTTCGAAAGTGCTTGAAAGACGAAGGTAGAGACCTTAGCAGGATGATAGCCATATCATCATCTTTGTAAGTTTCTTCGACTTTCTGAAGATTAGCTATGCAATTCTGGAACCTGCATACGTGATCTTCAATATCACCTCCTTCTTCTAGTCGAAGCCCGAATAGTTCATCCTTTAGAAAAAGTTTATTGGACACGGTTTTGCCCATATAAACATTCTCCAATTTTTCCCATGCTTCCTGGGCAGACATCTTTTCGGTGATGTGTGACCGAACTGATCTTGTGAGATGGATCTCGATGGAACTCTTGGCCTTCTTGAGAACCTTATTCCATGCTGCTTCTGTCATGCTTTCCGGCTTCTTACCATCAAGTGCATCATCCAAATCCTGCTGTATCAGTACGTTCTTCATCATCCTTTGCCAGTCCGTGAAGTCATCCTTGCCGTCAAAGGGTTTTAACGCAGGTCCTTGATCCGCATTCATCTTCCCTTTTAACATCGTAGAACACCTTGATCCTAGCTCTTGATACCAATTGTTGAAAAAACCCGCACACTGGACCTTGTTCTTTGATGTAACCAACGGCTATAGACTAAACTAGCAAATATAGAAAACTTAGAAACACACAAGAATTATACTGGTTCGGCAGAACTTATGCCTACGTCCAGTTGTGATTTCCCTAGGTAGAGAAATCACCACTTCTTTGATTAATAATAGAGATTACAGAACTTATGCAAACCCTAGAACTAATCTCAAACCTCTCTGCTGTTTGGCTGTTTTCTCTCTCTGCTGAAAATCAGCCTTGCCGCACCCTATTTATAGATATAGGGTTGGCTTACATGTCCTTTACAGATTATAATTCCTATTCTAAGTGGAATAGGAAAATAGACTTCCTTTCCAATTCCAAATAGACTTCTAGGATTTCTAATCTAAATTGAATAAGGAAACTAAGATTCTTTCCTAGCCCTTTTAGGAGAAGAATTGGTGCACCCTTTCCCTAAAACAATCCTAAACAGAAAAGGACACAAATTGACGAGCCAAAAACTAACACTTTCGTCATTGTATTTAGAGTTTGATTAACGACATATATGGCAAGGAATAGAAGTTTGTGGTAGCAGATGTGTATGTCTAAAGTACATATATCAAGCTTTTAAGAGTTGAATGAATCCCTAAAATGATATGGCTCAACAATTAAGGGTGTGCACCATGAGTTTTTAAAGGCAAAACCCTAATTACACCAGTTGTATAATTATGGCAGATATATGAATATGACGCATATTACCCTTTTGACTATTGTATGGCTTGGAAAACTTAATCATGGCCGAGAAGCGGAGAGAAACTTAGCTAGACCGGTTTCATACCCCCTCCCTCTCTATCCCTCCTCTTGTAGAGGTCATGAACTTGTGACATGCAAGTTTTTCTCAGACAAGAGAGCCTTCATGGGCAAATATTTAGGAATTGCAAGGGTTTTGCACTTACGGTAGAAACTTAATTCAATGGCTTGTAGTGCCATTTAGCAAAAAACTTTACCAGCAATGCAAGGCATCCTAGTGTTTGGAGTCACTTCTGTATTAGTAAGGAAAATAAATATGGGGGGAGCAGGACATGGATGGAGAGGTTTTACTGTCTCTTCAGGTTCTCAATCGTAGTCATAATTTACTTAGAGGAGAAATACCACTGCAGTTTGGAGAACTGGAAAAATTAGAAGCAGTGTATTTGTCGCACAATGCTCTCTGGTTCCTTCCCATCCATTTTTGGTAAAATGTTACACTTGACGCTATTGATTTATCCTACAATCAACTGGAGGGTCCTCTTGCAAACATCGAAGCCTTCAACGAGGCTCCAATTGAGGATTTAGAGAATAATAAAGGCTTGTTTGGTAATGCCACTGGCCTGAAGGTGTGCCAATCTACCCTAAGAAACAGGAAAACGAACAACAATAATACCACTCTGATTGCAGCCCTTGTTTCAGGATATCTGTTTCTTGGGTTCATTGTAGTTGTGATTCTCTACATTCACCTCCCTCGCCAGATTGCAAAAGAACAGACAATGCCAAGAGAATTACAAACCAAAGATCTCTACACAGTTTGGAGCTTTGATGGAAGATTAGTGTATGAGGACAATGTTGAAGCTATAAAGGAAAATGACTAGGAACATTGTGTAGGAACAGGGGGCCATGCAAGTGTTTACAAAGCTAAGGTGCAAACAGGCCAGATTATTGCAGAGAAGAAACTTCACACGCTACCAGGGTGGGATAGAAAACCTAAAGGCTTTTGAGAGTAAGATTCGTGCACTCTCAGGAATCTGCCATCGCAACATTGTGAAGCTGTATGGCTATGTGCACATCCACGGCAGTCATTCTGGGTTTACCAGTTTCTGGAAGGAGGAAGCTTAGAAGGGTTACTAAGCAGTGACAAAGAAGCAACTATGTTTGAATGGATTTCAAGGATAAATCTGGTCAGAAGTGTGGTGAGCGCTTTATCCTACATGCACCATGATTGCTTGCCTCCAATTGTTCATCAAGACACATCAAGCAAGAATATCTTGATGGATTTAGAGCATGCTGCTTATGTCTCCGATTTTGGCACAGCTAGAATATTGAAGCCTTACTCTTCCAAATGGACTTCATTTGCAGGCACATTTGGATACACTGCTCCAGGTAGTTATTTCTTATTGTTATAATTTGTCACAATAAGCATATAATATCTGAGTGCAATAACAGTTGCACCCATACGTTTTTGTTTACTATGAAACGGAGTTTTGAATTGTTTTGTCGGGTTTGCAGAGTTTGCTTACACAATGGAAGTGAATGAAAAATCTGATGTCTATAGCTTTGGAGTGTTAACTTTGGAAGTGATCATGGGAAAGCATCCGAGAGATCTCATGATCTCAGTTCTCTCCTCGACAATATCAACTGTGCTTAATACACCGTTGACGGACATTTTGGACCAAAGGCTTTCACCTCCAAGAGATCAAGTTGCAGAGAAAGTGACGTTTCTTGTGAAGCTTGCATTTTCATGCTTGCCAACCCACAATCTCGGTCTACCAAGCAACAGGTTTCCCAGGAGCTAACAAATATTTCAAGGGCACCTTTACCACCCTCATTTGACAAGGTTACCTTGGGGCATCTTGTTAACAATGCTTAATTTCCTCAGTATCTGCATCAAATATTTTCGACAAGTTTAAGATTGTGTATCCAAATTTCGCTCTCTCTGACCATATAGTAATTTCTCTCAATATACCATTGTTTATATATGGCTATTGTCTTTTTAGTCTCTTCCAGCTACATTATTGATTAAAAGTTTGTAACCTATTCTAAAACTAGTTCACCTGTCCAATCATTTTGATGATTTTACCATTTTTAGGCAATGAGACAAACGTTCTCTTGGTCACTTGGGGTGTGTTTGAGATGATATAGTAGTTGATAGCTGTGAGTGCATCAGTCATTTTTAATGTCCACCGGGATTGCAGTTTTGTTGTAGCTTTGTATAATCGTAATACTATATGATGCTTTTACCATTGGCATTGCATAAGTTTTATCTGGTCCCATAGGGTCACAGGATTAACTTAGTTGTTCGGCTGATGTTTGCGAGAAAATTGTGTTATCCTTGTTGTTTAGAAATAATTTTCGATTTTGATCAGAAGGATTGTCAATTTTTGTGGATAATTTTAGTTATTTTCAATTTTATGGTGTTGATCACAGTAGCAGCATCCCTTCTTTCACTATAATTTTAGCTTTGTATATGCTTTCTTCAGACGCTTACTTAAAACCAACTTAGTAAAAAGGATTTAATATTAACAGTTGGTCTCGTTTTCTCTTAAACAGTTTGATTCGGATTTGATTTAAAGAGGAAACAGTGCTTTTGAGCATTTCGTGTCTTGACTTCCTAAGGTTCATTGTTTCTTGTTATCAGACGTACTAGAAAGGTCGACGTATAAAAGATAAATACAACAAAGGTCATCAACTGTTTAGAAACTTTACCTATACTGACAATCTCAATATTGGCTTGTTGACAAGTGACCTAGAACAAGACAATGATTGTTACTCTTGTGTTTGCATGGGGTAAGCTTTTGTTACTCCCTTTTGATATTGTTAGGAAATAGAAAGGAATTAGAAATATGCAAGTTGAAAAGGAACAGATTCTATTAAATAAGTTTACAACTAAATGAATCCAAAGCTTGCCTATGACAACCCGTCCCTTTTACGATTTTATAAATTTTAAAAGCGTGAGTTGACAAAATGCCCTTAGAAGAGAGATTGTTGACTTTCTTTGACTGTCTTTTCGTGGCATGTACGAGCTATTATTTTACCATATTCTTGAAGTACTTGACGGTATCAACGCATAGGCGCACGTGGACATGAATTTAGAGTTATGACGAAGATTTTACAAACTACGGAGTGTGATGGGCGTTTTGGTAAATTCACGTTATGGGAGATATTTTTCTGTATTTTCATTGGTGACTTTGAGTTGTGTGTCATGTGGGGCCCACACCCCACTTTTTCCCTCTATCCCGTGTCTCCCAATCCCTAGAAATCCCTTTTTTTTTCAACTCTCCACTCATTTGCTGCCACCTCATCTCTCCTTCCCTCATTTCACTCTTTCACATCTCTCGACTTCGTCTTATCTCTCTCTCTGCAAGTGCACAAAAACCGGACCATACCACCCTCGCCGTTTCGGCGAGCACCACCACCACAAACGTAGGCTAGTCATGAACCACCACCGACTGCCATGATTTCCTTTCCCTCATCCCTCACCTCTCTTTCTTGCCCGTTCTCCTCTTCTATGCAGTTATGCAGACTTTACCACGATGAAGTATCGTCGTCTTCCGTCTAAACCATCGAAACCAGACCACTAGCCTCGAAGAGAGATCACCATCGTCGTCATCCAGTCAATTCAGTGTACCCTGGTTCGAGATGTGGTTGTTGAAGGAAGATTTGTGAAAAACATGTTCATTTAAGCAACATCAATAGCATGCAATTAACAATTAAAGGCGGAATCATGCTTGTATGCACTTAAAACAAAACATTTACCCATGAAATTCAAAGCCTAGTAGATAGGTGAACCAAGACTCAACTCAAAACAAAGTGAGTTGAGAAATCAATACCTTTGTAGATTCCTCTTTGCATAAGCAAAGGCTAATCACCCAAAGAGAGGGCCTTCATTCCTTGCATCTTAGATTCATGGATTTGGATGGATGAAAAGGTTTCTCCAAGTTCCCAAAATTGAGAACCTCTAATGATTCATCACCAAGGCATAATGAAGAAGAAATGAGTGACCTTGGAGGAGTTTGATTGCTAGATGATCCCTCCAAGGTGGCCTAAATTTTAGAGAGAAAGGAGAGCTTGTGTTCTCATCCTTTCCCCAAAAATTACCATATGTAAATTTTAGGCTATAAAGTCCTTTATATAGTCCCTTCAAATAAGTGACCTAATGGACCAAAAGCCCTATTCTTCTAACATGGCAAGCCTATAGGGTTTATTGGGCTTTCAAGCCCTTTGTTTATTCAAGTTGTCATACAACTTGAGTTAATGGGCTTGACATTCAAATCCCATTGGGCCTTGCGGCCCAAAACTAACCCGAGGTCTTTAACGAACTTATTCGTTTGATTAATTAACATATTAATTAATCCTAGCCTTAGATAAATAATTAAACCATTTAATTATTCTTACTCATCTCCGTTGTTTCTTCAAACTCTACCTTACTCAGTGAACGATCCATTAGGTTCCTTTTAGCGAGGCAGTGGGCGATTAAAACTCTTTCTAATCGATTGTGAATTGAAACTTACTTTCAATTCTCCCGTTAGTGATAATACACTTTTAGGGCTTCCACAAACCATGGTTGACGCCTAGCAGCATGTCATGGTTACCCAAGCTAATCAGCAGAGGTGGAGAACCTATTCAGTTTTAGGATTACAAATGCAATACGGTCTTTCTCTAATACAATACTCTTGACCACATTGTTTGGTTTGATAGTTTATTCATGTCTACTATCCAATGTGAGTCTTGTGCTTATATGATTACCTTGAATGTGATTTGGAACACATTCCTAAATCTCATTCATACTTTGGCCAAAGATTCTTAATCATATCATAGAGTATTCTCCCTCAAACAATTTGAAGGTTAGAGATCCCTTGTTGCGCATTCACTTGCCTCCATGGCTAAGTGGCTTAACCCCAACGATGCCATGGACACCCTCATGATGGAGTGACTTTGACATAATCAAAGATTAAGGACCTAACCACAAGACAACTGTGATGCCTCAGGTCAAAAGACTAATTTGCATTATCCCAACCATGAGTTCTCATTTGACATGAATATGAGAACTCTTCGTTGATCGTGTTCAGTGAACTCATTCTCTATTGAGCACCTACGTACTTGTCTTGATGTCACACACACCAATGACTCGAGACTATTCACTCTCCCTGAGAGAAGACATAGCACGTACTGATCTTAACGGACTGTCAATGCCCAATTGACAATCCTATGATCAGGAACGTTTAGGATCTGTCAACGAAAGAATGGTCTCATGAATCTAACTTCTTTATATCGCATTCTTCCAATCACATATTCCTTGGACTTATCGTTTAAGCATATAACATTTATATGAGACGGCTCAAACAATAATGTTTGCCCTTAATATTAAACTAGATTAGTTTAACATGTGAAATGTCTATAAAGTATCATCATATGATTGGTTTTAGGGCACATTTCCAATAGTTGTACAGTGGCTCTGGCCACTGTTCATCGTCTCCTTCGACGAAACTTCATTTTTTCGACAAAGGTGAACCTCGAAAACCCCAAGTTCTTCGTAGATCATAATTTGTAGTACGATTAGGGTTACTTAGAGGGATTTTGGTGACATTTGGATGCAGAAAACACCCTTAGAAATTAACCCAACTTTCTGGCGAGAGATCAGGCGGCTTCGAGCAGTTTTTCGGCCAATTTCGGCCACAGAAGGACCCCATGTTGGTATATTTCTCTTCCTCTCCTTTCGAGCTTCAAATTGATATATTAGATTGCTAGTTTTAGTTGAGTTTCGAAGCTAGGTGTAGCCGGGAACGTTTCTTGGTCAAGTTTCTTGGGTTCCGGCGGTTGCAGTGGCAACTGGCCGAAGAAGAAGAAAAAGAAAAAGAAAAGGGGGGAAGCCCAGGTCCACAATTCGGATCCGAATCCAAACCCAGGATTCGACCCGACTCGGTTCTAAAATGCATGGACATTTACGAAATTTTATCAGAAACCCTCCTAAGCTAATTTTGACATCCCGAATCCATTTAGGAGAATTTCACAATTTTAACGTAGTTGACCGTTGACTTTTTACAAAATTTTCCATCGCGCGCCGTTTTCCCAAATTTAATTGTCTTATTGGTGTTTTACTAATGGATCCCAATATTATGCTTAGGTGCGATTACTATTGGAGACTTCGACTATCCTAGGTTGCACTTTTTACAAAATTTGCCAACGCACTCCGTTTTCCCAAATTTAATTGTCTTAGTGGAGTTTTACTAATGGATCCCAATATTATGCTTAGGTGCGATTACTATTGGAGACTTCGACTATCCTAGTTCGAACGACTGCGACCTTGTAAGTATCTGTGAGTGGGTCTTTGATTTTAAATATTATACATTTATTTAGTTTCCATTTATATGATTGAAAAGAATTTCTTACGTATGCCTAGATTAGTCTAATGTTTATAAAAATTAGCGAAACGACGGAATTTATGAAATTATCCTAAATCCTATGGGATGCATAGGTATGCGTACTTTTGTGGATTTTAATTATGGCCATGATTAATATTTATGGAATAGTATTATGTCGATGTAAATTATTGATTTATCGCTGTATGATTTTATTTACGTTATCTGCTCATCGTTGCTGCATTGGTGTTAGTACTCGCCCGGGCCAGGGCTAGTCTTTCATGTGTATGTTCACGTAGCCCCGTATGTTCACTGTGGATCCATTATAGGTGCCAGTCTTGTCCTAGATTGCTATAGGTAATTAGGACTCGTATGTGATGCGCATAGCACCAGTCTTCACATTTTCTATATCACTACATATTATGACTTCATCACCTTCCTAGTGTTGGCCTGCACAGCTCGATTCGAAGTCCAGGTGGACATTCCGGGTCGGGGTGTGTCCGTTTGGTATTAGAGCATAAGTTTGGGTAGTATTGAGTTCATCACACACGTGATGGAAGCATTCTCGGTTCTTAAGCCTAATTTTCGAATCTTGCCACCTCGTCAGGCATGAAAAATGTATTAGCTTTTTCTAAGTTATGGGCTACTTAGACGACTTATCGACCTTCTAGAAGAGCATTGTGGCGACCGCCTCAATATTTTAAACAAGAACCTCCCTGCCAAGGAAAATTCCGATTTGGATTAAGTTGATGGTCTT